GAGGCCCCTGGTACTTGGGGAGCTGGTGTCTTCATGGCACTTCTGAACTTTTCACCCCTTTTCAATGATTTTGGGGAAAAGCGATTAAATTACCCTGAAAATGGCCTTTTTCATCTTAGACAACATCCTAAGGTTGGAAACTGAAAGAACATCAGATACTTAGTCCCAACTCAGTTTTCTGATAGGGTATATTGTTTGGGAACATTAAACTCCACAGTGCAGGTCCCAGTATTTATTTCTTAAAATAATGTTTTATGTTGTGATAATGGGGCGGGGTTGGGGTGGGGAATTCAAATAGTTATCTATCGTTTAATGAGAAAAGTGGGTTAGGTTAGCCAACAATACAGATACGGGGAGTGTACTTGGAAGAAAACCTCTCTGGGGAGGAGAGAGGTACATTGGAAGTGTTATGAGTTGGCACTTAGCTGTCAGTTCACAATGGTGATGACAGAATTTCAGCATTTTTTGCTTTAATAAAATGCCAGCTTCTTAAAACAATTGTGAGGCCTTCTTTGTTCCACACTTCCTGAGATGTTACTTCTGATCAACATAACTCTGGACCAAGGCAAGATTAATCGCCAACTACCTGAAAGTTGTCATGTAAGACCTCCAGGGAGACCAGAGAAAGCTGAAAAACATGTGGCTTGATTAAGAACATGAGACTAATTCAATCAAATGGTTTATCTGCTGCCACAGAAATCCATTCCCTGTGCTCGATAGTAGAATATAAGCGCTTCGGACTTAATTACCCAGCCCCAAAAGACAAAAAACAAATCTGGGCTGGTATTTAACTACAGCTTTCAAAGACAAGGGGATGTGGTGATATTCAGAACTGTATCTATTAAATCAAAATTTTTGTAGCTTTCAGTTTGGGGTATTAAACATTTTAATGGTCATTTTCTACATTCTTATCTCAACTTCCTTATTCCTACTCTTAACAGGGAAGGGGGCCCAGTACACAATGCATACCAAGCAAGTAACTCATAGTGACAAAGGAATTTTAATGTCAGATGCAAGACATTTATCCTTCAAGTACCTGTGTCTCTTGCCTTGTAAGTCTGGTCAGTCGAATCCAAGGGCAGTTTATCTCCGTGCATCTCAACTGGTAGAAGCCAAAGCAACAAGGCAAACAATGAATAGACAAAGAACTCCCTCCATTAGATAAAAAAACCGGCTTTCCAAGTTTCTGGGAAATGATTTACCTGTCCCTACCCTCTAGCCCTCAGAAGCAGCATACAATGCCAATGAGGACTCCGTGGATAGGAGACTTAGGTTCCAAGATACTTCCAAGCTACTCTTCACTACCATTCCCTCTCACAAAACAAGTGTCTGTGTCAGCCAACCACTGCTATCCTGTCCAGGCTGCTCTGGCTCTCTGTGCACCCCGAGATCATTATCACTTACATTTCATGCAGAGGGCTGGTTATTGTGTCTGATTGAAGGGATATTATAGCTGGGCTATCTCTTCTGCACAGGCCACAGACATGGTAGTATCCCACTGAACTCACATCCAGCTAAACACACTGGAAAGGAAAGCAAAGCTTCTTCTTGAATGGAACTAACTTTCAGAAATTCAGATTAAAAAGCCAGGTACATGTTAAGGTGTAGGAAAGCTTTTTGTGTTAATAACAGTGTAATAAGGTATCTACAAAGTGTTAGTCGCTCAGTCGTGTCCAGCTCTTTGCGACCCCATGGACTGTAGCCTGCCAGGCTCCTCTGTCCATGGGATTCTCCAGACAAGAGTACTGAAGTGGGTTGCCATTCCCTTCTCCAGGGAGGTATCTACAAAGACATCCTTAAAAATGAATGGGTGAGGGACTTCCCTGATGGTCCAATGGCTAAGATTCCATGCTCTCAGGGCAAGGGGTCTGGGTTCAACCCCTGGTTAGGGAATTAGATCCCAAGTGCTGCAACTGAAGACCCTATCTATGTGCCACAAGCAAGATCCGGCACAGCCAAATTAATAAATTTTTAAAAAAGAATGGGTGATATTCCAGAATGCTGTTTAGAACACAGTACAGCTCTCTAGCTTGGAAACCAGTCAAGGTGTTTCAAAGTTACAAACGAGTTAGCTTTCCAAAGCTTCTCTTTGTGAGTTTGGTCTTCTGACTCATCATGCTGGAAACTTTAGTTATTATGTATCTACATTTTTCCTAAAGTTTGAATGACTTCTCAAGTAGAGCTTTGTTACTGATGCATGTCACTGGTTTTCTTCCCTTTCCCATAACCACAAGCTGAGAATCTCATTACTCAAAACTGGGAAGTTTGTGCTTATCATTTTGCAGTGACTGGTTAACCAAGTCCAGATTTAAAACGGGGATTTGGGGTTGGGGGAGTTGTAAACAATAAAACGATGAAAACTGGAACCCAAGAAGAGAGAAATCACGAACAGTTGGTTTCAGTAGAGACTGTTAAGGTCTCAGAGCACAAGGGGTCACTGAACAGAAAGAAAAAGTTCCAACAGAAATCCTTTAAATTGTAATAAAAATCCCTCACAGTTAAAAGGTCTTTATTCATTGTTCACTGCTGTTGAGTTTTAAACTTTCCTTTTTCTGAGACGATCTGGACCAAGAAAGACCTATATCAATGTAGTTGGCTTATGGCCAATCCCGTCTAGCAGATAAGGGGGAAGGATGGAATATTCTTTGAAAAATTCTTGCTAGCTCTGGATTTTTAGTAAGAAGGGCCTTCCTTTGGTGACAAGAAGGAAAGAAGGAAATAATGTAGTAAGCTAGTTAGTGACATCTAATATCAGCAAATGCTTTTCTATTGTAAATGCAAAAGGAGAGTGACTCCTTTCAAGTACTCCTCACCCAAAATTATGGCTTGATTTGAGAAACCCCCTAGAATTCTAAGTCTTAAATTCTGTAAAACTGGGTTTACCAAAACTGTGATAACCCTTTCTAAAATCCAGTCTTTTGAAATTACAGCCTTATTTTTGTCACTATTTTCAACCACGCCATTTTCATCAAATCTGATTCCCTCATCAGTTTTTCAGACTTCAACTGGATCCAAGGTTTCTATCAGACTGTCCTGCCATCCTCCCACTCCTAACCAAAACAGCTGCCCCTTGTGCCTCAGCCAACTAAATCTCTTGGCACCATTTTCCTTACTCCCATGGCTGCCTCCACATCCCCCTCCACCCACAATGTCTGGAACAGCCTCCCTCTTCCATCTGCCATTTTATTACTCTCATCTCCATCTTATTGCCTCAAAAACTCACCTCTCCCAGGATGCCTTCCTTAATCAAGAATAAGGACATTAGACTACAGCGGACATCACCCAACACTGACATCTAACGCACTTTTAGAGCAATACTTAAAAGAAGCTGGACTTTCCTAGGGGTCCAGTCGTTAGGAATCTGCCTGCCAATGCAGGGGACACGAGTTCGATCCCTGGTCTGGAAGGACTCCACATGTCAAAGAGCAACTAAGCCCGTGAGCCACAACTCCTGAGCCTACGCATTCTAGAGCCCATATGCCACAAGAGAAGTCACAGAAATGAGAAGCCCAAGCACCACAACTAGAGAAAGCCCATGTGCAGCAACGAAGACCTGGTGCAGCCAAATATAATAAATATATTATTTTTAAGTCTTAGCATTAAAAAAAAAAAAAAAGAGGCAATCCCTTTATAATCAACTTGCAGTGATGGTGGTGATACACTATGTTTTCTAATGATAGGACTATGTCAAGAAAACAAAAAAATAAAAAAAGAAAACTAGCCACCCTTTTGAAATACTTAAGTCCTTTATTCTAATTCCCTCAGATGCTAAGAGTTTCCTTTTCACTTGTAAACCCTAGATGAAGTCTATTAGCAAACCACATGCATATATACATCAGCCAAGAAGTTTGTGCTGATATTTCCAACCAAGTATATGATATTTGAATTAAGTATTTTGAATGATGAAAGAACTAAAGAATCAGTCAGCTATCAGAGGTAGTAATCTGTGACGATTCTGTCTGCTTCCAATAGAATAGCGATAACCCTCTGAGTTTGGCTTCCTACTGTGCAAAAATATTTAAGGACCAACTTTCAGATGTGGCAGAGTCACTCACCCTCGTATCTAGTGAGTTCCACATATGAAAAGGCTTTCCTTTTGTTTTAAAAGTAGCTCTTCTTGTAGGCTACCCTTTCACCGTTGAGAAACTAGGGTTCAGGTCTCATCCAAGCAATGCTGAAATTAACTGCATCATCTCCATCCTCGGGGACCTGGTATCCTGGGAAGCCCCCGGTGACAACAAGGGTGAGCCCAGGACACACATGTTAGCACAGATAGCTCAGCGTGATGAGGTGGGCATCCAATACCCTAAGTGTGCTTTAGTTACCAGAATATTTGACACACCCACAAATTAAGTAGCAAAACATTTTAATCAATTCTAACAATAACAGAGACATTTTTTATCCATTGCTACCTCCTCAAAAGTCTTCTGCAGATTAGCCAATCAGACTGCAGATTACAGAGCCAGACATTCAAGTTCAAAGTACAGTTTGGGACAAGATCATCATGGGGAGGTTTTACTCCTTTCTACTCAAAAACATAAGTTGTCAGGTTAAAAAGAAACCCTCAAACAGAAAGAGAAAGCCTTCTCTCACTATAACCTCTTTATTTTAAATCTGTAACATTTCAAGGCAAAACATAATCAGAAAACCAACCTCCCAAGCAGGTACAAGAATCTGAGCTGCACTCCTGGGATTACAAACTGGTTTAGTTCTATTTCTACTAACACTGTGATGTGAGGTACTATGGTTCTTGTTTTAGTTACAAGAGGTGTTAGGAATGAATGCCCACACACAATTAACAATAGCTTATCTAGCACATAATTCTGCAGCACAATACCAACAACAGGAGTATTTTAAAGCAGGGTGGAGAAGAAAGTAGACACTAATAAAACTGAAGATTTCCTTTGTTCTTCCCCTCTTTCCACAATGAGACTTCAGTTCAAAAACAAGGCTCCAGAAAGGCCGTGCGGTCCTTTGGCCCGCCACACTCCTGGGGAGCCTCAGGCTTTGGTGATGTATCCTTCTCGGATGAGGAAATCATAGATTTTCCGGGTTTTGTTCACGTCTATCTTGATGAGTGCTCTTGCCTGTGCCAGTCTTAAGCCTCCTTGCTTGTTACATTCGTTCAACAGAGCAGATTTGTATTCTAAATAGGCTCCCGGGACCAACCTCACCATCTGACAGAGCTGCAAGACATGGCAAATTTAATCAACATTAACATCTGTCAGTCTTAAAATTTAATCCAGTAGGTATAGCCATAATAAAGTGTAAAGAGTGACATCAACCTCCAACTATTTACAGGAGCTGCTGGTGGCTAGACCACATTCCATTCTGTCTTTTCTTTGGTGAGAATAGTCTCGAGACAGAAAAAGGCTGCGGGTGATGCTGGGAGAGCTGTGGCACCTGTGAGCCGGCTCCCCGGGGTTTGTCGCGGGTACAAATCTGTGTCCTGAGGACTGGCCTGGGGCAGAGGCCCGGCACCATCTGGCTCAGCCTGTCAGGGAAGAGTTGCAGGGCCCGGGGTGGGGGTGCCGACACTTGGGTTCCCAAGTGTGAATCACGTTATTTCTGGTATCAGCATAAGCCCGTAGTCTCTACTTTTGTGATTACACTTCCTACTTTGGAAGGAAACGAGATCTAGAGATCTTGCTAAGAGGTCACTTTAACTGCTAAAGATGCAAAAAGCTGGTTTAATTCTAGTTCACCTACCATTTATCCAGCAATAAACAGTCTGAGGTCACCATTTTGTGGGTAAGGATAAAAAACTGCTTGAAACTCTGGATCATTCCATACTTGAATCACAATGGCAATCCTTCTTCAGCAATACCTGGACATAACATACACTCCCTTCTCCTCCCACGCTCATCTTCACTGTTCCGACCGGGTAAAATCAAAGTCTAATACTAGCCCCTATTCCACTCTGTCTGACCTGAATTTCTGATATGGAGTGGCAGATGACGATGCCGATCTTGGGAACTATAAAAGAGCACACAGGAACAGAGGAGGAATTCCTCTTTGGAATGGACTTGAGAGATGTCGCACATTCTTTGGAAAATGCTTGATGATGACTCATTTGAGGCTGGACTTAAAAAGTTTAGAAACAGCTAATAGTCATAAGAAGTCACATCCAGTGATTAAGTGATTACGGTGGAAAAGAAAAGTAGGTCATGGCTTTTTTAATCAAAGTTAATGTGTGACTATAGATGATGATGGATTCCTCTTTTGTGCTTATATACATACCACGGAGACAATTCAAAAATCTTTTTAAGTAATGGTCATATTGTTGGAATAAGAGTAGAACTTCTGAAAGTGCCCACTCTTATAGGAAATAACCATTTCCATATACAAGTTATTTTAAGTTTGTAAAAAATTAAATTCAGTAAATAAAGTACTTAGTACAGTATCTGGTACATGATAAATGCTCAATAAATGATAGTTGGTATTATTTACATTTATGTATCATATGCTCTTCTCTCAGCAGATGAATGGTGGCAGGGTGATGAGGAAATGAGTTCGAGACCTGCTAAGGTCGGTTCTTTAATACGGAGACCTTGAGGATGACTAGAGCTGTATATGCACATGCGTGATGTGAGCACAGAGCCAGAGGGGCTTGATCCTGTAATGTGTTTTTCACGACAACTCAGTGAATAACTGGCCCCTACTCTCTGTCCTCTAACCAGCTCCCCTTCTTTTTGTTACCTCCTTTTCTTTCTCATTCAACTTCTCTGTGCCAGGGAGGCCAGTGAGGTTCAAGGGCGGTGCACTTCGTCTACCTATAGATACAGACAGAAAAAGGCATGTATTTTGTAAGAGACAGTAGCTCAGGAGTAAAAAGTGTAACAAAGTTCACCATTGTCAGGCCTGTTAGGTACACAACTACTGCACATCAGGTACCTCAAAGTTCACTTGAAAATAAAAACAGTAAGTCAAGGACTTCCCTAGTGGTGCCATGGATAATGATGTGCCTGCCAATGCAGGGGACACAGGTTTGCTCCCTGGCTGGGCAAGATTCCACGTGCTGCAGAGCAACTAAGCCCATGTCCGTGACAACTCCTGAGTCTGTGTGCTCAACTACTGAAGCCCTTGCGCCTAAAGCCTGTGCTCTGCAACAAGAGACGCCACCATGAGGAGAAGCCCACGCACTGCAATGAAGACTAGCCCCTACTTGCTGCAACTAGGAAAGCAAGCCCACACAAGAGCAACGAAGACCCAGCACAGCCAAAGATAAATAAAGATTAAAGAAAAGAATTTAAAAAAAAAAAAGGTAAGTCAAGTGCCCTTTGCCTTGATAAAATGCACATATAATCACACACACCTCAGAGTCAAAGAAGATTATTCTTCCTAACCCAGAAGATTCTAAAATCTACAGCCCAGATGTCATCCAGTTAAGAAAGGTTACATGCTGCCTGTCTTGACAGCTGATGAATGGAAATAACAACTCTGCAGGAGAGACATTCCCTAACACTGGCCCTTCTGCCAGCAGTGCAGGCAAACATGGTAATTACCCAGGTACCATTCACCTTGAGATCAAAGACAGAGAGTCAGGCCAGCAGAAGGCCCTTCATTATGTATTATCTGAGGGAATACCTCCCAAAGTAGCTCTGTTTACCTGAAAGACCCACAGAGAGGAACAATGAGCCAGTATATGGCAAAGCAGAGGCTGAGGTGAACTCACATACCTTGCCAAAGAGACCTAAGCAGGAGGTCACTGCCCAGGATGGGAAGCCTGATGTGCACAACTCTGGGGATTTGTTTTGAATGTACACGTGAGTGAATGGCTGTGTTAAGCAAAAGAAAATGTAGAATACTATGTTACACTTCATGGGGGCAGGGTGCTGCTTAGGTGGTGGAGAGCAGGGGGAGGGGCTGTCACAGGCTTCCCTTTAACATCAACAGAGGGAATGGGAGCTGCTCCGCAGTCCCAAGCCAAGCTTGACCCTAAATGCCCTAAAATGGAGATTACGATCACTCAATACCTCACCAGTTCCGAGAGGCTACTTTACGATTAGTGATTCAGGTTTCCAACTCTGCACTGCCTTAGGAGCAACTCAGAGTGTGAAAAGGAGCAAAGGGTCATCTCAACCTAAACACTGGGGCTGAGGGGGGCTGATGCCCACCAAAGAAGCAATCAAGAGTGAGCGCAAATGGTTCAGAAAACACAAACACCAAAGAAGCTAGGTCAAGTACATTCATTCACTTTAATTAGTCAACATTAAATTTTCTTATCTCTGTATTTAGACTGGGGGAGGATTTGGATGTGAGAAACTTATAAAACTTAACTGTCTTGGCTATTCCCTAAAAGACTCTTTTCTCCTCTAAATATTAAAAATAATTACTTGAAACACAGGAATAAATGAAAAAAAAAAAAATCACCCCTGCAGTGGCCTTCTCTGAGTCCTTGTCTGGGTCTTGAATTGGAGATTTTTTGAATGGGATCACAAGGTCTATTTTTCCCAGTTTCAAAAAATGGTAAAACTACAAATCGGTTATCTTTTTGCCAAATCCAGTCTGTAAACAATGGAGTAGTCTGTATGTTCTCATCAGGGGAAGTGGCTAATCTACATATGGAGCAGGGATGAATGATAACCAAGAAAATAGGCAAACGAACACCAGGATCTCAGATCAGCATTCTACAACTAATACCACCCCACACTACCATTTATTAATTACCAAGCAGCAAGGATTATCAGATATCATATGGCTTAATCTTGCCCTGTAAACTGACCTCAAAATAGGACATGCCGGAAGAGATAAGAAACAGAAATACTTTTAACTCTCCAACTTATAAAGATATAAGTCTTACTTTTCTGGCAAGTAACATGCCTCCGTGCTCATATAGGATACAAAGCCTTTAATTTATCCCCTGTGAGACAATCTTGAAGTCTGTGGTATATAAAATCATAGTAAATGAACTGCCTGTGAACACTGGTAAAATAGAAAAAACACCTGTCTGAGGTCCTTTCCTCCCCTGTCTTTGTAATGTAAACCTGAGGAAAGTTCCTGTTTGGCCATGAAGATTCTAACAACTTGCTGATGTTTATGAATCTGTATAACAATCACCATTCCCTTGCCTAAGCACCTGGCTCCCACAAAGGCGGGAGGGTTTGTTGGGTCACTGTAATTCCCAGGATGAAAACTCCAGAATTGTGCCTTGCTCCAGCCTGAAAAATAATTACCTGAATTCGAAGTCATGGGAACAGAAGGACTCAGGCCAGAATCACTACAAAAAAGAAGAGGAATTTAAACTTATGTCACATCAAGAAAGCAATTTCCAAAAGCCCATGAGAGACTGGGTAACATTTATCAGGTCAGCCACTTTGAAGAGAAGTAATGAGACAGACTAGACTATGCTTTTACAGGCTATCCCCACTATACACAACTCAAGAAACGAAATCTGTTCCAGGGAAGGAAACTGCCTAGATTTGTTAAGAAGAGGTCCTGGTGTGGCACATCACAGAGACCATTCATAAGCAAAAAGCAGGAATTTGATCCTCCAATGAAAATCACGCCAGTAGATACAGAAGAAGAAAGGAGGTGTAGCAAGGGAATACACTAATCTTAAAAAATAAGGTCAAAGTAGGATTCTAGGAGGCCAATTACATTTCTCAAAACTGTCAGTACTGTACTATTTGAGATAGCCTGCTGAAGTTTTCTGAATTCTTCTAGCTACCTAATTATTACAGCTCTGCCATTTAGGGTAGGGCACCCACAGGGCTATCTGAAAATACAGGTAAAGGCCAAAAGCCCCATGAGGTTGTCCCCCAGACTAATTCCTCACATGTCAGCCTGCCGGCGGAGCCACTGCTGGCAGGCACTGCTGTCCTGGATGTACTGGAGGACCTCAGAGAGCATGGTGCGTTTGAGGCGTTCCTCTTCTCGAGTCTTCTTGAGGTGATCATAGGTTCTGGCACCTGTAGATGTTAAAAAAGTGACAACAATGACAAGGTAGCAGAACTAACCAAAGGGCTTCCTAACTCATCAACAAACAGTTCATCTTTTTTAATTTTTAATTTCTGTGGCCTTGCTGTGAGGCTTGTGGGATCTTAGTTCCCCAACCAAGGATAAAACCCAGGCCCATGGCAGTGAAAGCGCAGAGCCCTAACCACTGGACCCCAGGGGATTCCCAGTCGTTTTTTAATTTCCTTTGAAAAACTGCTTCCAGAATTATTTTTCTAAGAGCAAAGTGATTTCCCCTAGTTTGAAATCTCTTTTTTGATAAGAAATGAAAATGTGTTTATTCCTTTTTCTACCTTTAAGAAATTTGAGAGAGGGAATTCCCAAAACAGAAAAGTACAAAGAAAGTTGGAGTTGCTCATATTTCCATCCCCTAAAAGTAACTTCTAATACTGTCACATTTACTTCCTGCTTTATTTTTTTCTATCCATATATTTTTCCAAGTCACACAAATTCTATACACATACACTGTTCCTTAAAAACCAGTTAGGATTACAAATAAAAATAAATCCTCATTGACTATTACTATTCTTTTCACCTCTTTCGTGGAGACAACCAACATCGGGCAACCCAAATCTGGTATCAGAGTCTTTATATGCATCTTGCTAACAGCTGCACAGTGTTTTCTACACTATTAATGTATGTAAGATCCAAAATATCAAACCAGTGGGTTTCAAGCCACGTTTCACAGAGGCCCAGGTTACCATGAAAATATCTCAGGGATTACTGTGAACATACCGGTGGTCCTGGGCTCCACACATGGTCTGAATCACCAGACTTCAACCTAAGGAATTCCACTTTTCCTTATGGATTAGTGCTCCACATAAAATTTCATTTTGTAAAGAGTTTCCAATGTTAGAAATAAAGAGCCATTTTACTAGGCTAAACTTGAGCAGTGGGTGAACGGTTGATAGCTTTCAACCAACAGGAGGAGGGCATGCTGAAGACCATCGCCAAAACAACAACAGAACGACAGAGGACTTGGTACGTCGGGTACTATACTATGTTTTCACCCATATCTCTCGTTTGGTCTTCACATGAACTCTAAGAGACTTGGAAAACTGAAACAAATAGAATTACAGATCTGGTAAAAGAGCCAGAGCTCAAACCCAAGCTGTCCAAGCCTAGACTTCAGCTCTTAACTGCTAACACAACTGCCTTCTCTTACAACCTGGCTCTACTACAACTAGTTACTTTCATCCTTAGTTTCTCTATTAAATGAGAATAACAATACCCATCTCTTAAGTTGAAAGTGAAAGTGAAGTCAGTCGTGTCCAACTCTTTTCGACCCCATGGACTGTAGCCTACCAGGCTCCTCCGTCCATGGGATTTTTCAGGCAAGAGTACTGCAGTGGGATGCCATTCCTTTCTCCAGGGGATCTTCCCAACCCAGGGATCGAACCCAGGTCTTCAACACTGTAGGCAGACGCTTTACCATCTGAGCCACCAGGGAAGTCCCTCTCTTAAGTTGGTGAAGTATAAAGGGTACAGTTCAACACATGGTGAACGGTTAGGTGTCATGAATATAATCATCTCTACCTCAAGTAACTGGGATGCAAGTGCCTAGAACCAACTGAAGAGTGCTTAATGGGAATGATCATATGATGCATCACTAAATTTAAAAAGGCTGAGGCTAAAAGTTGGAATACAAAATCTTTTTTTTTAGAGGTCACAATAGAATCCTATATCTAAAGTAGCAACTCTGTCATACTTTTTATTTCACCTCAGATAATCCATATAACGGTATTTATAAGGATTAAATAGATGAAACTTTTGGGGAAGATCAAAAACTCATTCTGAAATGTGAAAGCTTGTTTATATGTTTGGAAGGCACATGCCCTCTGATTCAGTGCGGAGCATAAGCATACTTACTACAAAAATTGGTAATGCCTGCCGTCCTATATTCCTGGAGCCTTCTGATTTCCCTTCGGAGTTCAAATTCCACTGTTTATCCCCCCAAAAAAGACAGAAAAATTGGAAAAACAAAATCAACATCAATGAGCACTTTTACTGCTAAATGTTTTCAGTAATCCTGCCTTCTATAAAAGACTGGGCAATTCCATCTGGGGAATCCTAATTGTTGCTAATATCTCATTAGAAATTTTACTTAAGAGCTGATAAAAATGAACTCCAGTGGTCTTTTGGCTTCTGTCTCCAGTTGCAGAAAGCAGCTGGAATTGTTTCTTAGAAAACTTCATAGAGACCTGGCTGACTTCATTTAGCGACAGTAGTAATGAATATAATTTCTCAAACCACCAAGTTTCCCTGCTCTATTTATTCCTTGTTAAAAAGTTCTAGCCACAAAGCCAAATTTCTGTATGAAACCTGTCTCTGGTATTACATGACACAGACCTTTTTGCAAGGGAAGGACAAAATTCTGTGCTCAAGTTCCTGATGGTTTCTTTACAGCTTTTCTCTTACAGGGACAAAAGAGCAGTGTGTTTTCCATAAACCAAGATTTCTGCCTCCTCTGAGCACACAGATCAGGTTGCACTGCTCAGATTATTATGTGATGGAATGTTCCAATCTGGGTGCTTTGCAAAAGCGGATGAAGGAAGAACCTGGACAATCCACGGGGTGTAGTCCCCTGGAGTGACACATAAACCAGCGATGGTACAAACTGGGACAGGAAGTAAAGATCAGATACCCAGGATAAATCACACAAAGAATGCCAACTAAACAGGGTGTCTGTGAGGACAACCAACCCGGTTCAGATAAATGCCTGCAATGTCATGCAAGAAATATCTGCACAAAGAGAACAGGATACAAGCCTTCATGAAGTACCTTCCTGAACTAAATTTGGGAGTCAAAATCAAATACCTGAATCTCATGATGAAAGGCATAGACTCAGCCCCTCAGTTCAGACTTTTATAGTCCAGGTCTTCCTGCGTTAACAACTTCAATTTTTTATAGTGAGAAATCAAATGATAACTATATAGATCTCTCTCAGAGAAAAAAGGCAGGAAAATGATGTAAGTGCTATATATTATTTCCATGAGTCACCCAACTCTGTCCCCACCTAGAAACTAGTTTTAATACTAAAATAATTATGAACAAAATAATGTGATTTGCTTCAAAATAATCCAGTTGAGGATGGGAAAGGAATGGGTGATAAAGATGACACTGGATCAGCCACTGGATGGTTAACTGCTAAAGCTGGGTGATGGATACATGTATATCATAGTATAATGAACCCCCATGTATTTGCAAACTCCCATATTAAAAATGGGGGAAAAAGCTACTAAACTACTGTTTATCTAAAGGGGGGGAGCCACTAGTATTTTTAAGCTTTCTTCTCCATTCCCAAAGTTTCAAATTTATCTCATAGCAATAAAGGGGAAGAAACAATTAAAAAAAAAATCCACTTATTTGTTTACAGAATTTCACATAAAACACCATTATCATTCCTATTTATATAAACACACACACAGAGAGAAACATACGGTCAAGGTTAAAAAACCACCTACATGCATGGCTTTCAATGAACTTGTCATGCTCCACCGGCCCCACTATCCTTGCAAATCGCCTCATTGTTTCATAAAGATCTTGGACTTCCTTGGGATATCGTCGTTCCATCACTACAGAGAAAGTAAAGAATGTAAAGGTCTCTAAGTTTTCTGTATTTTTTTTTAACAAGTAGTAAAACGGAAGAATATTATTCCTAACCTCACATGATTAATTTACCCATGACAGGAAGCAAACCAGAAAGCTAGGGAATGCAGCACTCTAATCATGACGCTAACAGAACCAGAGGGACTATGTCTCAGGGACGCTGTCATGGCCAGAGAGCACCTGCACTCTGGTGACCCCCACACCTCGCTCTCAATCTGCAGAGGGGCAGGAAGTTCTGGCAGTAACAGGAAGGGCGATTAAAGGCAGATCATGCATTCTTAGGAACAATGTAGGGCAAAATCTCCGGTACTGACTTCTGCAGAACAAGGGACATGTAGACATGCTAATTCATCTAGAAGAGGTAGATCAGTCTGCCAAAAGTGTGTGATCTCTCCCATGTCCCACTAAAAATCCTCTCTGTAACTCCATATCCTCAAGTGAGGCATTTATTTCTTCACTCTCTACATGGGTCATTTTGCCTTTCTCTAAACTTAATTAAGTACCACAACTTAATATACTGTGAATGAAGTTATATTTTAATAGCTATCATGGAAGCAAATGGTCATATATGCCACCTGGGATACCCTTACAGGTAGCCAGAATCAGCCCCTTTGAGGATCACTACAGACCAAATTTCTAATAAAAAGAGCTATCAGCAAAAAGAGGGGTAGGAAAACCCACCAACAATAATTAGTAGGTTGGAATGATCAGGAATTCTCAAATTGCTACTCAGTCATTTCAATAAGAGTACTAGGCTAGCTCTGTCCACTCTCAGGCTAAAAATACAGTCTGTTACTTATGATAGTTACTTAAATTGTCGTCTTTTCAGATGAATCTCTTCCTTAGCAGGAAAATTCTTGGCCACAAATTCTAGGGGCTGATTTGATGGGCAGCCACAGATTCATTTTATTCACCACCAAAAAACCCTACTTCTGTAAGGATAATACAAAAATTTGGAGCAATTTCACTTGATGAAAAAAACTCCTATGCCTATGATATTAAGGTCACATGTACATTCAGTACAAAGGCAAGTGAAAACCTCTCAGACCACATTGCACATGCCATGCCTTTCTTGGAAGTAACGGAGCTTCCCCTCAGCTCTATCTGTAAAAATACAGTTAAAGAATAAAGAGGCTAAGCTGACCTCTGTCCACCAGCTGGGAACAGAATTTACGCAAGAGTCAAGGTCTACTACATACAGGTTAAAATCTAAAAGCCTAGCAATTGCAGACATAGGAACACACTACCAGGACATGACCAATTATTGTCGACAGAAAGGGCAAGGGAGAGCGGACCTGGAGTTATTTTTGCAAACCCACAGCTCTCGATTAGGACGAGGCTAAACAAGCAATAATGTACACTGGCAGAAGGATGTAAATTGATATAACTATCTTTCAGGAAACAATCTAGCAGCATGTGTTAAGCATTTTTAATAATCATATTCTTTGACCTAGTAATTCCACTTCTCGGACTCTATCTTAAAAAAATTCTAGATGCAGACAAAGCTTTATTCACAAACAAGTTTACCTTTGTGCTATTTGTAATGATTTTTTTTAACTTTTTATTTTTTTCCATTTATTTTTATTAGTTGGAGGAGTAATGATTTTTAAAAAAAACTGAAAATAAGCTAAATATTCAATAATAAAGACAGGTTAAGCACATCATTATATATTTACAACGTATATTATATGTAATAGGACCCAGATAATCACGATGGTGTGATCACTCACTAGAGTCAGACATCCTGGAATGTGAAGTGAAGTGGGCCTTAGAAAGCATAACTATGAACAAAGCTAGTGGAATTCCAGTTGAGCTATTTCAAATCCTGAAAGATGATGCTGTGAAAGTGCTGCACTCAATATACCAGCAAATTTGGAAAACTCAGCAGTGGCCACAGGACTGGAAAAGGTCAGTTTTCATTCCAATCCCAAAGAATGCTCAAACTACCACACAATTGCACTCATCTCACACGCTAGTAAAGTTAATGCTTAAAATTCTCCAAGCCAGACTTCAGCAATATGTGAACTGTGAACTTCCAGATATTCAAGCTGGTTTTAGAAAAGGCAGAGGAACCAGAGATCAAATTGCCAACATCCCCTGGATCATCGAAAAAGCAAGAGAGTTCCAGAAAAACATCTATTTCTGCTTTATTGACTGTGCCAAAGCCTTTGTGTGGATCACAATAAACTGTGGAAAATTCTTAAAGAGATGGGAATACCAGACCACCTGACCCACGTCTTGAGAAATCTATATGCAGGTCAGGAAGCAACAGTTAGAACTGGACATGGAACAACAGACTGGTTCCAAATAGAAAAAGGAGTACGTCAAGGCTGTATATTGTCACCCTGCTTATTTAACTTATATGCAGAGTACATCATGAGAAACGCTGGGCTGGAAGAAGCACAAGCAGGAATCAAGACTGCTGGGAGAAATATCAATAACCTCAGATATGCAGATGACACCACCCTTATGGCAGAAAGTGAAGAGGAACTAAAAAGCCTCTGGATGAAAGTGAAAGAGGAGAGTGAAAAAGTTGGTTTAAAGCTCAACATTCAGAGAACTAAGATCATGGCATCTGGTCCCATCACTTCATGGGAAATAGACGGGGAAACAGTGGAAACAGTGTCAGACTTTATTTTTGGGGGCTCCGAAATCACTGCAGATGGTGATTGCAGCCATGAAATTAAAATACGCTTACTCCTCGGAAGGAAATTTATGACCAACCTAGATAGCATATTAAAAAGCAGAGACATTACTTTGCCAACAAACATCTGCCTAGTCAAGGCTATGGTTTTTCCAGTGGTCATCTATGGATGTGAGAGTTGGACTGTGAAGAAAGTTGAGTGCCGAAGAATTGATGCTTTTGAACTGTGGTGTTGGAGAAGACTCTTGAGAGTCCCTTGGACTGCAATGAGATCCAACCAGTCTATCCTAAAGGAGATCAGTCCTGGGTGTTCATTGGAAGGACTGATGCTTAAGCTGAAACTCCAATACTCTGGCCACCTCATGCGAAGAGTTGACTCATTGGAAAAGACCCTGATGCTGGGAAGGATTGGGGGCAGGAGGAGAAGGGGACGACAGAGGATGAGATGGCTGGATGGCATCACCGACTCAACTGACATGAGTTTGGGTGAACTCCGGGAGTTGGTGATGGACAGGGAGGCCTGGCGTGCTGTGATTCATGGGGTTGCAAGGAGTCGGACACAACTGAGCAACTGAACTGAACTAAACTGTTGGACAACCGAAATTTTTAAAGCTTCCTAGTGATGCTAATATGCAACTTGGATTAAGAACTACTGCCATAAATGATTTAAAACTATTCAATAATGATGGGAAAAATTTTAAATTAAAGAAAAATGCTAATACTTACACTGAAACTTCCTAAGGTTGATTAATCCATGGTCTCTTATAATTCTAGAATGAAAAACATAATTATCTATGATAATTAATTTCACATTTAACTATGTCTTCCACAAGCAGCTTTCATGAGACAGCATGAACACTACATGGGGGAATATCGAGGTCCAGAGGAGCCACTCCCCTCAAAGGTCTGCAGCTCAGTGAGGCACTAGCACAGTTTTAGGCTCTCAAGTACCATGTATCTTTCCCCTCCTTGGGCAATGAAGAATCTCAATAACTATTTGCTGGATGAATCAATGAGGACCCACAAATACTGAAAAACACGTGTCTAACACGTGTCTGTAACTTAGAGGAAACAGAAGGGAATCTGTGTCCATGGTATAAAAATTATCTATTCAGCTTTAGGGAAATGATAAGTGAGAATAACCATTTAAGGGAAATCTGTTAACCATGAAGGGTGCATGATCACACACTCAATGTTTACAACTGTACATTCACAGAATGCCTTGAAGCTATTTGAAATAAATCTTGTGCATGTTTAATGGAATGGCATCATAAAACACAAGATCTAATAGAGACCTTGACAACTGAGTTCTACAATACTGTCTAGTTCTAATTGCATGTTTTAAGCAGAACAGAATCTAGGTAAACCATGCAGAGTTCCATGTCTGGAACCTTCGATTTCTATTGCCTAGCAATGAACCTTCTCTCAAGAATAGCTGAATAATCTTTAGCACTCACTAGAAGCTAACTCCAGATATGCAGAGAGTAAGTTTTATTTCAGATCATGTCTCAGTCCCTCCAGAGTGTCTCCTAAGTCCTATTTCTTTTTCTCATTGTGATGCCACCGTGTCTCTGGTTAGTAACATGCCTACACATATACACACACACACCTGTGAGTACCCTTCTCTGAACTGTTAAAAGTCTCTGTAATCCAACAGAGATCTGGGATCCATAACTTCTCAGTCTGAATCTAAGGTTTTTGTTCTGTTGCAAAGAGAAGGAATAATCAAGAGTGCCTAAAACTTGCTCATGATTCCTTTGAAATCCTTTTAGATAAAAGATTTCTCATAAAAACTCAGCAGTCAGAATGGAGCATTTGAAAAAGCATAATAACTTAATAATATCTTGAATTTTTCTTGTTGGTTTTTTCCTTAAAAGAAATACCCATATTATTCATTGGTCATAACATTAAGGAAGGGGTAAAGGAGGAGGAGGTAAAAAAGCAAAAAAAAGGAGAGGTAATATTAACTTTTAACACATGGAAAAATTGAGAATCAAGGAAGTTAAGGGTATTCCTCAATTGAAGTCATAAGATAAGCCACAAGTGGAACTTGTTCTTATGGGCTATATGTGGTCAAAAGTCCAAAGGCAAAAGAAGGCAGGATGGTCTCCCAGACTTACTTTTTTCGTCTTTGTCGCTCCTTTAACCTGGAATGATAGATATCCACTACAGCCATCTTCAGAGCTATAAACAAACAAACACTTACATATAAATATAGCCAAGGCAAGAAGAAATCTATTGCCCAAACTGTTCTAAACTTTTAACCTCGTATTGCTAACTACTCCATATTCACTGGTCTAAGAAATCTGTCTCTTGGAAACAAAAAAAATATCCTAGAATATTGAATTTATGAACCAGTAAATTACAGTGAAATTCTTTTTTTTAAGTATATGTTTATAAGGGATGACCCTATGGATCACAAATTCTGCTTTCTTCTAAACATCTACTTTGACCATGCCTTGCTATGTATATTAACTTTCACATAACAGTTCAACAAGGAGTCTGCACTTTGGTAAAACATGGGCTAGAAATTACACATATTAGAGTTTCAGACTAGGAGAGAGAAATACTGAAATCTAACAAGCTGAGCTATAAGCATATGCACTATATCCGTATACAACTTCAGTCACCGGGAAGTGACCAGGAATACTTTATCCAGTCCATCCTCCCTTGGATCTGAGATAAAAATAACAAATTCTAGCTGGATGATCTGAAGAGATAACTGAATGCAGCATTTTTTAAACTTCAGTTATTTAAAAAAAAATAGAAAAGTATTAGGTATCCCAGATTTGTTGTCATTCGTTCCTAACAAGTTCAAAAATTTAAACAACATTGCTTCATTTTTCCTCCTCACCACCCACAAACTAAAAATAATTCAATAATATCAGGTCCAAGATTTAAGGCAATGGATTTCAAATCTTTTTTTTAGGTTGCAGAACTCTTTCTCTATGTGAATTCTTTCTTGGTTTATACGTGGTTCCTTATAGAAGCATAGATATCACAGAATGCCCAGACCCTGCCAGTGTTTCCTAATACACCTGGTATTAGGTGTAATGACAGGTCCTAGAACGCTGTTCTGGGGGAGACAGGCCTTACGTAAGTCTGTGGTGGAAGTGGCAGGAGGAATGAGGAGGAGACGATCTGTTTTTGACATGCACCACAACCAAGTACAAGTTTTAGCGTGGACTCTACCTTCCTTCTTAGGAGAAAGAGAATTAGGAAGTCAACAGTTCAAGGCAGAAGGAGAAGCAAATAGAACAAATAAGAAGCAAACAGGTAAAGAGCTAACATACACTGAGTATTTATCACATTCCAGGCTCTTTAGGTGCCTTATCTCATTTATCCACTGAATAACAAGATGAGTTCAGTAGGAAATAAACTACCAGAAAATCCAGTGGGGAGGTTAGTGCTAATTTTGACAAAACAGTTCTGTAATTTTTCTAATATACTAACATATCATGTTGTTTCCTAAGATTTATGTGGGAAAGAATTAAAACAGAAAAAAAAAAACCCTGAAGAGACTGTGTTACAAAAACCTCTATAAATAAATCCTGCTGATAAACGGTTCTGGTGCCTGATCAATTCAGTAGTGGAAGCTTGTACAATCAGCTCTGGAGAACAAAGGGGAGAGAGGGAACACAGAACAAAATGCGAGGAGAATTGGAATTCTCCCAGGGAAAAAATTTCACAGTTGAAGCTCTCTCTTGTCTTGATGAAGCACACTCGCATCGCAACAACTGATTATAAGGTCTTAACTGCATGAAAAACCCAGGGAGGAGGACACAGCACAGCAGGCAGAACAGAAATGAGAGGGAGACACTGAATGGAGGACAATGGCAGGTTCACACCCTTCTTAAAGTGACTGGAGAGTTGAGTAAAGCAGGCACACAAAGACCAGAGCTCCTTAAAAACCAACCAACCCAAACCACCCATAACCTCTCCACTGCTGCCAGGCCTCTGAAATCCCAGTCTGGGGGGATGACTAGTCTCCGTGTGATTACACTGGGGACTGATAGCAAAGTCTCCAAATGGCTGCCTTAAAATACTGCAAGAAGTGGGCAGAAGTCAGAGGCAGCTCCTTCCCACTGCAGTGTATTTCTAACATTGTTCAAAATAGCTGGCAACATGTTTCTGTTTTCCTGACAGAAGGCACTTACTGCTTTCTTGGCAAGAAAAGCAACTCAGAGGCCTTAACTGTGGGGAAACCAATCAAAACCTCTACTGCAAGCACACAAGCACAAACCTGGGAATCAGGTATTCCCCAGAATGAAGCTCCTTAAAAGTCACTCTCCTGCCCCTGAAGCTTTTGGCCGAGATGGACACAATCAGGGCTATGAAAAAAGGACGGCTATGTGACCTCATAGGCAAAGTCAGCATCCAGGAAGCCTTAGGTAAGTTGCTTCACTCCTTTGTGCATTTCTCTGAAGGTAGAATGGGAAAATGACTATTTCTACTTCTCAGTAATGTGATTAAGTCATAGATTATAAAAAATGTGATATCTAAAAAGAAAAAAAGGTTCAAGGTGGTAGATACAGGAAGTCTAGTAGTATTAAGAGCACAGATGTATTAAGCACAGTATTATTAAGAGCTTGAGATGGCTCTGCCACTTGCAGGTTATAACTTGACCTTGATATTTCCACTCCTCAATTTCCCCACCTATAAAATGGGCAGAGTAACACCCAACCCAAAGAGTTTTGTGAGGATCAAATGAGTTCCCAGGTGTTGAGAACTTAAATGGTACCTGGCAAACAGAGAGTGCTGTATGTATTAATTATTATTATTTACAGCCTTTAACAGTTAGAAGATCAGAGGTCCAGCCTGGTCACTGTGCCTACTCACCTACCTATTGGCAGTTTCTTTCCCTTGATGGTGATTTGGCTGCTTTTTACTTAGGACTGTTTAGACATAAATACCATTAAGACTGAAAATTGCTGTAGTTGCTTCGTCATGTCCAACTCTTTCGCGACCCCATGGACAGACAGCCCACTAGCCTCCTCTGTCCACGGGACTTCCCAGGCAAGAACACTGGCACAGGTTGCCACTTACTGCTCCAGGGGCTCTTCCCGACCCAAGGACTGAACCCGCACCTTCTGCACTGGCAGGTGGGTTCTGTCCCACTGAGCCACCTGGGGAGGGCCAAAGAAGGAAAGGCGGGGGTGCGGGCGGAGCACACCCATACCTGACCAAGACTTTTGCTGAAATTAGCTTTCCCAATAGAGAGTAAACTTCTCTGGTGTGCAACCCTGAGAAGTGCTGAGAACACAGTCCCAGCACAGAGAAAGGAGCTCATGCAGACAACTCCTGCTTGCCCAGGTCACCGGCTAGCAATGATTAGAAGATGCTGTGCTAAGGCTTACCACCTGGAAAACTCCAAGAAAGACCGGTCTACAGATTTAGGAGAGATTTTCCCAATAAAAGCAGATGGGAAGCAACATTCCCTGAGGAAAAGGGAAATGCGCTGGGTGTCAGCACTGATGTCTCACAACATACCGTGACACAGGGGGCACTGATATGGGGTCTTCTGCATCTCCCTCTCGAGACCAATAATTACTATAAAGTATGAGGAGGTTTCATTTAGCGATCCCAAAACTTCCTTATTGTCTTCCTCAGACATTACTTCACATGCAATATTTTTTGGGGGCCCATTCTGAAAGATCTTTGGTATGGCTGGAATGTAATCATCTATTCCTCCATTGTGTCCTAGGCCTCTATAATGGACCATTTAAACCTCCTTTATTAGACAAATTCCATGAATCATAGCAAAAGCCTTGGAAAAGAAAAAGAGCTTGGTGGCATCACCCAATCTTCTAGATGCCTAGGAACAGGATACAAAACCCAGCCAAACAATTTACTTCCTTCTAGTAGTTGTGAGTGAGGAAACATAAAAGGAATGTTATAAATGTTCAGTAATATTAAGAGTGTAATAGTATAATGGGATGGTAATAACATCAATCTGAATTATGAACCCTCTTCCATTGGAGACATTCACCCTGACTAGTCAGTGTCATCCTTCTTTGTTGGCCGGGGACACAAATAGCAAGCGGGATTCCAAGTGACTTAGAAGAAAGCCCGAGGTTGAATCACTGTCCTGATCTGCAGAAAACCGGTGCCCCCCCTCTTTGCTTTGGGTGTGCAGAAAAAGCTCCTTCTCATTTCTCCCTACTCTCCTTAGGCTCCTAGTTCCCCTCACTTGAGTGTTCTGGGAGAAACCGCTCAGCTCAAGGGCAACATGCCCCATTGGACAGTGGGGACGCGCTGCCAGGGAAGGGATATGAGAACTTAGAGCCATCGACAAAGCATCCCTTTGATCTCCAGTCCTGCCAACCCTCTCGATGGCGTCATCACCTTTCAAAAAGCACCCATCTAAACATCTTATAGTTCACTACTAGAAAGGAAGGGAAAGTGGAAGCAGAGATTATTATAATTTTAATTAAAACTACTTATGTATAACAATAACTGAAGCTTCAGTTGTAGTTCCAATGTATTAGAATCAAGTAACTTAAAAGGTTGCAGAATCTGTACAAAGAACACAACTAAAGTATGCTATAGGTTTGAAAAGCTAACTAAAACAAAACTTGCTAATCAATTGCTTCTTTTTTTTTTTCCTTTTGCCCCACTTAATTATAGAAAGGACCATAACTGCACCAGAAGAAACTACAAATCCTGCTTTCACAAAGAATGCAGAGTAAAATGAAATACCAACCGTCACTATAGTTTTCTTAATAATGTTGGGGCTTAAGAATGAAGACCTTGGACTAAGGCCTAGAGACATGATTCAGCAAGTCCTTTACATAGTTGAGACATTACTGACATTAGAGATTTTGACTTTCAGAAGTTCAGTACTTCTGAATAGCATCTAAAAAAATGATACTTATAAAACTGCTTTTTTGCATTCTGGATAAGAATGATACAAGCCAGGAAATAATCCCATTTTAATTAAAGCTGGCATGTATGAGGAGAAATCCTGAATGGCAGTCTGCACACTACCTTCAAGGGGACCCCACCACGAGGTGAGAACAGACAGTAACGCGAGTGACCAGGGCTGACAAGCAGAGACTGACACGGACAACGGATCAAGCACAATGGCTCCAGTGAACCTAAAGGAGTTTGCCTTCAAGCTTTCCTCTTTTAGTTCAATCTGCGTCACTTTGACTTTTCCTTAAAGTTGTGTGGGAGAAAAGGAGAGAAATGAAATTTTGCAAAGAAAACTGTTCAAGAAGTATGTACAGAAAAAATTCTAAAGGTAAAATTTTCATGAGGACTCTTTCTTGGTCTCAGATCTGGTGTAACAAATACCTAGACAGTTCTTCTATGGAGGGAAGGGTAAAATTTCCCCTTCAAGGGACAAAGGACCAGTTAGTGCAACCTGAAAACTCCATTTATAAATCAACAAGGAGTCTAACTTGTCATTCCTACATGGCGTATACAGTTAAGAGAAATAACAAAGATGTTGTTCAGGAAATATAGACTCCAAGGGTTCACCTACTACATACATCACCCTTAATTCTGGACTGAAATGAAACAGAAGATGTGAGATTATTTTAAATACATAGTTCACTGAAAATGGAAAGAAAGGAAAAAAAACAAATTCCATCACCAGCCCAGGCTGGGTGCATGAGACAAGTGCTCGGGCCTGGTGCACTGGGAAGACCCAGAGGGATCGGGTGGAGAGGGAGGTGGGAGGGGGGACCAGGATGGGGAATACATGTAAATCCATGGCTAATTCATTTCAATGTATGACAAAAACCACTGCAATGATGTAAAGTAATTAGCCTCCAACTAATAAAAATAAATGAAAAAAAAAATAAAAATAAATAAAGTTTGCATTTTTCTACTATAAAAAAAAAAAAAAGAAATTCCAGTAAAAGTTTAACCATCCACTTTTAACAGCCTTACTGACATTAACCATTTACTTATAATGAAAGAGTTAGTAAATCAGGCTAATCTTAAGAATTCAGAAGTGCTAAAAATCCAACAGTTCTGAGAAAGAAGAAATTTTCAGTCTTGGTCTAAAAACTCTTGAACTTCCATTCTTTTCCCCTGCTATGGGAAATCTGGGGTAACAAATTACAATGAACATTTAGTATCAGTAGTTGCTGTTGAAGTCCCAGGTTTTCACCCTAATTCCTTTTCTTTTAAGGACACAGTGAGGACCATAAACAATTACCTCAGCATAGGCTTGTCTCAATTAAAAGCAAGCTCACATAGTCCAAAGGATGGGATATTCCCAACTACCATTATATGATAAACATTCTCACCATCGTCACAAATGATCTTCTCATTATGGTCAAATCCCGGCAATAGGATACGTTCAGCATCTTAACTACTATACTTTCAGTCCCATAAGGGGCAGGAGACTATCTTATTCATTCTTACATTCCTAGCAGCCAGCACAGTCTCATTACAGGTTGCAATCAATAGAAACACTTATTGAAATGAAATGTTACCGTGTAAAATGTCCGAGTCATCTTCGACAAAATCAATATCTCTCAAGTCCCACTCCGCATAATTGTCAAACTCCTGTTTGGGGAAAAAAATTCCCACCTCAGATCCATCAGCTTTGAATAATGCCTTTACAGGAGCCATGCTTTAAAAGCAAACAGCAAATATACAAACACTTGTTAAAAAGTACTGAATGGGGTACAAAGCCAGGATAACTGCCATTAAGTCATAAACCATGGGAAAAATCTGAGAGGCCTTCAGGCAATACTGACAGCAAAAAAATGAGAAAGCTATGAGTCTAGGAATAAATATTTGGTTCTAAAAGTAGTCTGTTCATAAAATGTAAATCAAGAAAATCTTACTCTGACTACTCCTTCAAGTATTTAGGTAAGAAAATTGTGTGCATTAATTCATCTGCCTTACTACCACCTTCTGAGGGCTCTATTTATTCCAGAATATTGGTTATACAGCTCAGGGGGTAGATTTGTTCATATTCTGTTCAATGAGTACAATCTGCAGGGGTAGTGTCTGTGAGGGAGTTCTACAACAGCAGCTGCCAAGAACAAAATGCTGACCTGGGTGTGGCCAGCAAAATTGTTTGTAGTCTGCTTAACTTTAATTACCTCCAAGAGTGCTATAATTATGGATGAGGTGATAAATCAAGAGACGTGTGACTACATTCACATGGCTTTATGGCTGCAAGAACATGTAGCTTTTCTACACATTTATCATTCTTTATATACTTTAGTACAGAAGACCGCAAACTACAGCCTACAGCCCACTGCCTATTTTTGTAAATAAAGTTTTACTGGTGCACCAGCATGATCATTTGCTTACCATTATCTATGCTGCTTTTTGTATAATTACAGCAAAGTTTAATTCCAACAGAGACTTTATGATTTACAAAATCTAAAATATTTACTATCTGGATCTTAACAGAAAGTTTCCCAACCCCCTGATATAATACAACCTTGGAACCCTCTAGGTATGGAATGAGAATCAGACTATAGAAACCCTATACCCACAAAGGAAATGGGACTTTAAGAAATAAGTTCTTGGTCTGAAGAACTTCTACCTTTCTAAAAAAAAAGTTTACAAATGAGAAGAGGCACTCAGATGGAGAAAATGGGACTGCTTAAGCCCCTACAAATTACAGTGTTTTGAAAAGCTTTTTAGTGGTATGGAACCTATAGGTAACAGATAAGGCCTCATCCGAAACAAAAACAAGTTTCTCCTACCTCAATGAAATCTGCTCGAGCTGGCATGTATCCTGCCATGTCCCGAGAAAGCAAGGAGTCAAAGGTAGGTCGGGGAGGGTCATCTGCAGCTGAAAGAATTTCAAGTTTTTCTTAATAACTTAATAAAATACTGGCATAAAAGAAGTAACACAAAAAAAGTTCTCATTTAGACTCTGAAATATTTTTATTTGGAGAAAGACAGTGTCTGAGAGAATAAATAAAATTCAAAAGATTTTTATAAAGTAAAGTAAAAAAGTAATGTTTTATGGAAACAAACTGATGTCTTAAAAAAGAAATTAAGGGGACTTCCCTGGTAGTCTAGTGGTTAAGACTGCACTTCCACTGCAAGGGACATGGGTTTGATTCCTGGTTGGGGAACTAAGACCCCACATGCTACAAAGGGCAGGGAAAAGAAAAAAAAAAAAAATGAAACTAAGATTTAAGGAATCCTCTAAGTAAATATGGAAAATTCCCTCTGCTTTTTACTTCCCTAATATAAAAGAAAATCAAGGATCTTTTCTTTAGCATTATAGAACTTAAGTATTTACCCTGTCTGCTTCAGCTCCCGTCTCAATCTCAATTTACAAATCCCATCCAACTGATAGGCAAAAATCCCACTGGATTTGGAGTGAGCTGGAATTGAGTCACTAGTCCTAAGATCTTGCACAAATTATTTAACCTTTCTGAATTTCCAGTTCCTTGTATGCAAAACCAAAGCACTTGCTCTTCCTGTCTCAGTGTTGCCAAGAGGAAGAAATGGTCTCAGGCATTTGAGAACGAAGTGTTAGCATCCAAAGGGCTATCCAAACAGGAGATAGCCCCAGGTTTTGAGTTAGTCAGCTATGAAACTGTCTCCAGAAAGTATGAGGAAAGAGCCAGGGGAAAGAAAAATAATCATATCTCATTATCTGTGCCCTGGGAGTCATTCAGAAAAGATGTCCATTTATAATTCATCATGGGTTTGGTTATGTTTTGTTAGACCCATGAGTCCCTAAGTCACATGAGATTAAAAAAAAAAAAAAAGTTTGTTATAATTGCCACAACCAAGTGAACAAAAATAACAAATTGCTTCTTGGACTTAATACTGGGATGGTTAATTATAATGAGTTCAATACTGGACTCTCTTACTGATACAGGGAGGTACTTACAGTGAAATGGAATGGCTGTGTCAGCAGTTTTTGCCTCCTCTGCTTGCTTCAGGTTCAGCAGGGTAGATGCAAACAGAGGGTTATTGATGAAATGCTTCATATAGTGCTTCTCACACTCCTCCTTGGTCTTGGTGCACATCTGATTGGCTACATCCTGCCTAGAGTGTGGAAAGTGAGAAAAGGAAGCAGAGTTTTCATTTATACATAATGGTCAACGTATGGTTTGGTCTTTCCTTACTTTAATGATACCTCCAAACTGATATCAGTGGGACTTAAAATATGGAAAGAATTTCCCTGTGAGCTAGGCTCTATCGAAAGAATTGCTATAATTAATAATAAGCCACTTCAGAACATTTATATTTGCATATTTTATAGTTTAAAAAACACTTCATGTGAACAAACATTTCTTTACTAGAGCTCTCATGACAGACCAAGCTCTAAGCTGGAAATATGTACAACATAATTTAAATCAATGCTAGTATTAACTGTGTAGTGTATTTACTATCTCAGTTGCACAGATGAAAAAAATGAGGCCAAAAAAGGTTAACAAACTTGCTTAAGAACACAAAGCACCGAAGTGTCAAAGCCACTTAATCTGTACTGAAGAGCCCTGACTCCCAGCCAAGATGATGCAGAGGCAGAGGCGAGAGCTCTCAAAGGCCCCTCTCAGCCTCTCTTCCACGACGCTTCACTTGCATCGTGCCTCCTAAGGCATGTGTCTCCACTTCATATGCCTCCTAAGGCATCACTATGCTCTGATTTATGTACTTCAACCAACTGTACATATATGCTGATTCCCCTACTAGACTACAAGCTTCCTGAAGGCAGGATGTATGTCATAATTCTTGGCTCCAGCAACCTCACCACCAAGCGTAGTGTCTTACCCATACAGGAGAGAGAAACAATGGTCTTTTTGTGGTCTTTGCTAAGGAAGGGGTACAAAGAGGAATAGCCCCTTTTAGACAAAAAGTGAAAAACTAGGCAAAAGACGACTAGCAAGAAAATGATCACTTTTTTCTATCTTCTTTGGTATTCCCATAGTAAACAAAATTTTATGATGCTTAATAAATATAAGCAAAATGTTAATGGAATTCAAATCTCATTCTTCAAGGCCCTGGACATAAGGGAGGCAGCATAGTATATTTTATCAACATCTGATAGAGGATATACTCTAGGAAATTAGGGCAGGGAAGAGCTATTTAAGGGTCCTCTGGTAACATTAATAAACTATGTGGTCATAAGAAATCATTTTTTAACTCCCTAAGCTTCAGATTCTTTATGAACACATATATTTAATAATGCCTCTGCTATCTAGTTCATAAAAAGAAATCATCAGTTTGAAAGTACTCCAAAAAGGTAAAAATGAAAGCAGCAGTGTCATTATTAAGCAGTGTCACCTCATAAGGCAATTGAACGCTGTTCAATTCTGCCATGCTAGGACTGAGCAAGTATCTACAAGCTAAAACCAGACAACGCAAATAGGTAGCCTATCAAATTTGAATCTCAGGCAAGCTATGGCCATTTATCTAAAGTCTGACTCACTTAAATGACAAGGCCATCTACAGCCAAGAAAAGTTCATAAAATCAGAAAGGAAGAATAACTAATAAGAGTCTACACTTCCCCACTATTCAGAGAGGGATAATCAACCTTCCGTGGTGTTGATACGTCCAAAGTGGTCTTTTAGAGCTGGCCAGTCACAGACCACTGAACATCCTGCAGCCCTGTGAGGCATTTCAGCCTTGGAAAAACACGTGTAGAAGGGAAAAGGACTTGTCTCTACGTCATGGGTCAAGAGAAAAGCAACATATGGCCCCTAACTCCTTTTTCTGAGGTTCCTCCTTTTAATTCAACAGCACTGTCTTTTTGGGGACCGCTAGAGCAGGACAACCCTTTCTCCCAAGCTCTTACCAATTTCCAAAGCCACAGTCCATCACAGCTTCTAAAAGAGCCATTTCTTCTTGAGCAGTCCAGCTGGGATCAAGAACAGGAAAATCTGAGGTCTGAGGAAGAAAAAGTTCTGCCTAAGAAGAGATAGAGAAATAGAACCCAGCAATCCCAAATGTAATCCTAGTTAATTTAAGTCCAATGCTGTCATTCTCATGGTGTTTGAGAGACGCCCGAAGAACGTTATCATTAGTTGTTCGCACTCCCCACCTCTAGTTCTACCATTAGGATCTCCAACAAATATTATCAATCACAAATGCCATTTAGCTCATGTAAAAATACGTTTCTTAAACTTAGCACAAAGGTAATAGTGTGTTCCCATTTAGCTAAGAGAGGAATACAAATGTGTATATTTCTACCTATTAAAATGTAAGATTAAATCATAAATAAATCATATTTATTATGAACATATAAATCATAAATAATAATAGAACCAAAGCTACCTATTGGGGAGGGAGGGAGAAGACAGGATGGAAAGGACAAGGATAAAAGCTGGTCCTCTCTGAATATTCCTTTTTTGTAGACCTGACTTTGAAAACATAAATACTGTACACTAAGTATTAAATTTTAATATCACAAAAATCAAAAGTAAAATGTAACAAATTAACCTATGGATTAATTTTAAGGCATAATCACACAGAAAGAAGCAATCCCAGGTGACTTTAAAACATAATAATTTGACTATATATTTATCATAGAATATACTTTAAAAAGTAAAACGAACTGCCAAAAAAAATTTAGTGATTGATAACTATTGTTTTCAAGTAGTGTTGGTAGAGCTATTCTGAGATTATTATATGTTGATGTAGTGTGGGATAAAGCTGTTAAGTAACTGTACTGGTGTCACTGGACAGTGGGATTTGGGGCTTGGGGGAAAGAAAAGATAGGCGATCTATGAGGTTATGTAAAACCATGTGGTCTTGTATTTGAAATGGAAGTTTTAGTATGAACTCACTTTGTATTTTGTCTTAAAAGAAAAATTTCCAATATAGAGCACAAACTAGTGATTACCAGTATGTATGTGGGGGGTAAAATATAGGGCTGAGGGAGTGGGAGGTACAAACTGCTGGGTGTAAGACAGGCTACACGGATGTATTGTACAACACAGGGAACATAGCCAATATTTTGTAATAACTGTAAATGAAGTGTAACCTTTAAAAACTGTATAAGACATTAAAAAAAAAAAAACCCTATTCAATGAAAAAAAATCTAGAAAAAATGACTAACCCAACAACAATGAATACTTCCAGTGCCCTGTATGTGGTCTCTAAGCACAATTTTCTACTAAAGGAACCAGGGCTCTTTCAAGAAAAGGCTCATTTTAGTTTTGGGGAGGAAATGTACAAGATGAGACTGGAACATTTTATTATACTGGAAAGCAAAGAAACTCTCAAAGAATATGAGGGTCATGTCAAAAGGATTCAGAGGTCAACTTGTAGAGGCTCCCACTAACTAAAAATGGAACATTTTGAACATTAAAAAGAATAACAATTGCAAAGGTTTATAACATGTCAAACATCCTCAATGTCTAGAGGATGACAGAGAAGGAACTCATACTTTCAAAACTGGTAAACAAAGGGAAATAATTTATCCTGCCTTTCTGTACGAACTTTACCTTAGTGTGATCACATAGATAATGCAAGGATGTTTCTTTTTATAGAATTATTTTAACTAAATTAAAAGAAGTGATAGAATTAAAAGATAACTATGCATATTGCAATCCTAGATGAACAAATCTAGACAATGATCGTGAATGAATCAGATATATCCAATATACGTTACTATTAATTTGTAGGAAACACAGAAGTCAGAGGAACATGTTATTCGGCAAAATCTAGACTGTGCTAACATCTGTAAGACAAACAACTCCGGTTTTTAAACAATCAAACTGTATGAAACAAGAGAAAGAGTGAGGGAGGGGTAGGAAGGAGAGGAAGAACCCACCGGATAAATATATGAGGTAACCAACCTATAATAGTTAGAAAAAAAAAAACAACAAACGTCACACAAGAGCCTGGGCTTCCCTGGTGGCTCAGGGTGAAGGACCTGACTACAATGCAGGAGACGCAGAGGAGACATGGGTTCAATCCCTGGGTGGGGAAGACCCCCTGGAGAAGAAAATGGCAGTATTCTTGTCTGGGAAATTCTACAGACAGAGGACCCTGGCAGGCTATAGTCCATGGGGTTGCAAAGAGTTGAACACGACTGAGTATTTCCTATAAACGCGCACACATGCATGCACGCACGCACACAAAGATCTTTAGGAATTCTCCTAGTGGTCCAGTGGCTAGGACTCCGCTCTCAACATAGGGGGTGCAATTTTGAACTCTGGTCAAGGAGCTGGCATGCTGCAACTAAGAGTTCGCATGCCACAACGAGAGAAGATCCCCACAACTAAGACCCGGCACGGCCAAATAAATAAATAAATAGAAGAGTGATCCTTCAATCACACAGGTGTTTAGAAATTGTTCTATCTTCTGTTAACGACACACACACATAAAAAACCCTCTGTGATCTGTCAAATTACATTACTAATAAGCAATACATTTTATCTGAGCACTTACTAGGAATATGCCTCACGTGAGGTACTATGAGATCCAAACGAGAAATTTCAGAGCCTGTATCTGTATTAAATTCAAAATAATCACTCAATCTGGAAAGTACCATGCTGCTGCTGCTGCTGCTAAGTCGCTTCACTCGTGTCCAACTCAGACGGCAGCCCACCAGACTTCCCTGTCCCTGGGATTCTCCAGGCAAGTACATGGAGTGGGTTGCCATTTCCTTCTCCAATGCATGAAAGTGAAAAGTGAAAGTGAAGTCGCCCAGTCATGTCCGACTCTTAAGCGACCCCATGGACTGCAGCCTACCAGGCTCCTCCGTCCACAGGGAAGTACCATGCTGCTAAGTCACTTCAGTCGTGTCCAACTCTGTGCGACCCCATAGACGGCAGCCCACCAGGGTCCCGTGTCCCTGGGATTCTCCAGGCAAGAACACTGGAGTGGGTCGCCACTGCCTTCTCCAATGTGTGAAAGTGAAAAGTGAAAGTGAAGTCGCTCAGTCGTGTCCAACTCTTCGCAACGCCATGGACTGCAGCCTACCAGGCTCCCCCATCCATGGGATTTTCCAGGCAAGAGTACTGGAGTGGGGTGCCATTGCCTTCACCGGGAAAGTACCATAAATACAGGCAACTGCAACAACTCATAGTTGGAAAGCCTGTATTTCTGAAAGTGCGTTTTCTAATATTAATTAGCTCTCACCAACCTTACTATAAGATAAACCAGAAAGACTTTCTACGCCAAAACTAAATGGGCATATAAGGCAGTTTTTCTTAAAGTTGAATCAGTGTTTTTCAATCTCGGAACCCAATCTTGGCCCTACTGAACAAGAATCTCTAATAGCAAGGTCTAGGAATCTATAATATTAAGAAGCCCCCAGGTGATTCTTATGCACTGAAGTTTAAGAATCACTGGTATAAAGGGTGTGGCAAAACACGGTGCCTTGACTTGCGCAAGGTTCTAAGAATTATAAGACAAAAACAGGCAAAGAACTCAGAAATGCTGATTAATGCACCACCCACCACAGCATGAGTAACTTCCAAAAATACAGCACTGTGAGATGGCAAAAGTACTGAAAGCCATTTAAAGTTTTTTGAGGCTTCATATAGGGGGAAAAGAAAAAATCAAGGTTTTAGTGACTTCATGTACAGAAAACCAAAATGTGGTCATCATTCCTATGGAAGGAGATTCATCTTTTCCTTATCTGGGAGTAAAGACTAGAAGAAACAAAAAGAGCATTAGTAATCTCCAAAAGCACTATAAAGAACAGAATTCTGAAATGTTTGTATGAGTGTAGACTATGTGAGAAAAGAATGATGTAATCTGAAGAGTTAGAGGGACTTGGAGTGAAACTTCGTGCCATCAGCATTAGGCAGAAGGCATGGTGCCCAGAATAGTTAAAGTGAGTTCATGGTCAGTCTTCCTGCAGAGGATAATCTCAATCTACTCAAAGTACACTGAATCACAATTCAAATAAATACATACATATTCTGCTTCTTAGCATTCTTATGTGAATTTGGGATGAATAAAGGTAACTTTTGAAGATGGGATAACCTTAGTGAAATGAACTCAGAGCCACAGCTACTCTGACCACACTCTTCCTCCAACCCTGCATTCATTTTGCAATTAACAAAAGGGAAACAAAAGGGAAAAAAATTCATATTTCATATATTCCATATCATATGTTGTCAGAGAAATGCAAGTTAAAATGAGACAGCACCATATACCTATCAGAATGGCCAAAACCCAGAAAACCGACACCACCAAATGCTGGCAAGGGTGTGGAGCAACAGGAACTCTCTTCCACTGCTGGTGGGAATGCAAAATGGCACAGCCACTTTGGGCAGTTTGACAGTTTCTTACAAAACGAAACATACTCATACCATATGATCCAGCAACCATTTTCTTGGTATTTACCCAAAGGAACTGAAAACTCAGGTCTGAAGAAAAACCTGCATGTGGATATCTATAGTTGCTTTATTCTTAATTGTCAAAAATTGGAAGCAACCAAGATATCCTTCAGTAGGTGGATGGATAAATAAACTGTGGTACATCTAGACAACAGACTATTATTCAAGGCTAAAAAAGAAACAAGCTATCAAGCCATGAAAAGACATGCAGGAAACTTATACATGTATTACTTAGTGAAAGAAGCCAATCTGAAAAGGGTACACTCTATGACATTTTGGATCCCAACTCTATGACATTTTGGAAAACGCAAAACCATGGAGGTCATAAAAAGATCCATGGTTGCCAGGAGTTAGGGGGAGAGGTGGATGAAGAGGCAGAACACAGAAGACTTTTAGGACCATGAAACTACTCTGTATAATACTATAATGGTAGATATATGTCATTCTGTATTTCCACAAATCTACAGAATGTGTTAACATGCAGAGTGAACCCTAATATAAACTATGGACTTTGGGTGATAATGAGGATCAATGTAGGTTCCTCAGTGATAATTTAGGTACAATTCTGGTGGGGGATGCTGATAATGGGGAGGCTATGCATTTGTGGTGGTAGAGGATATAGGTGAAATTTCTGTACTTTGTACTCAATTTTGCTGTGAACTTATAACTGATCTAAAAATCAAAGCCTAATATTAAAAAATATATTCCAAACCTTATAATTAGTGAAGAAACTAGTTAGAAGACTGAAGGTGTTGAGAGAGAGTTGGGGAAGGCCGGACAGTTGGCTGCCAAGAACTCTTAGTAAGGAGCATTTCTTTGACTAATTCATTATGGACCAGGACCTGACTCTTGGTATTATGGGACCAGAAATTCACTCAAGGTTTCACAAATAAGAGTTGGAGATGCTGAGTTACCCTTTTCAAACTGCTAAAAGACAGAAGTAGACAGGCAACAGCACTGTGGCAGACAGAATTCTCAAGGTGGCCCCCACTCCCCAAAGATTCTTGTCCCCTGATTAGTCAAAGACTAACTAAATATTCCCGTGAAGGGACTATGCTGACCAGGTACTAATTAACTGACTGGAAAATAGGGCGACTATGCAGGCGAACCCACTGTAATCACAGAGGCCTGAAGGGACAGAGAAGAGTCAGAGAGATTCAGCACCGAAGTCATGAACCAGGAGAGGCCACGGAGGCCAAGTATTTCATCAATAACCTTCAAGGCCTCCCTGCTGTTGGTGGCTTTGAATATGGACAAAGGGAGTCAGGAAACACTAAAGGCTGAGAGCAAGTCCTGGCCAACAATCAAGAAGGAAACAGTATTATCACTCCTACAACCTCCAGGCAGTCATTCTGTCAACAACTTGAATGAGAATGGGAAGGGACTGAAAGTGGATTCTCCCCTAGGGTCTCCAGATAAAAATCCAGACAGACCAACACTTTAATTTCAGCCTTACGAAATCTGGAGCAAACCAATGAACATAATTGGTGTTTTGACCAACAGAACTGTGAGATGATAAATTCCTGTTGTCTTAAGCTGTTTCATTTTTGGTAAGTTGTTATGATAGCAAGAGAAAACTACACAAGTATCAATCAATTAATCCATGACGTGAAACTACTGTCAAGAAGATGCCCAACCAGCATTCCTTCCTTTAAGAAAAACCAACAAAGGAGGCCAAATGTAAGAAAACTACTTGGTGAACCAGGAGATAGGCTCTGATAACAGACAAAGGTACTGTATATATGCCTGCCAAGCATACCAGATATTTACTTTGGCTTAGTAAAGTGCCCAATCCTCGGGCTAGATAGTGGAATGAATGCTGTCACTTCAGTCGTGTCTGACTCTATGCGACCCTGCCAGCTGTCCATGGGATTCTCCAAGCAAGAATACTGGAGTGGGTTCCCATTTCGTTCTCCAAGATACTGGAAGGACACTACTAATACCCATCCGTCCCTCATTCCTTCTTTACAGATGTCAAAAAAATCAATCAAATTATAGCCAAGTCTTACTCTGGCCTATGACTCAATCTATCTCTTCAAAGTGATTTTATGTATTACTATATCATTGACCCTATATTCAATTTACAACTTAACTCTCCGAGGGTAACCAATTTCTCCAAGGCCGAGAAGGTGGAGGGCCAGACATAAATCTCACCACTGCCCACACGAACCACAAAAAAATACCATTAGCCAAACACAGCAACAATACATTTACTATGTTTATAAACAAACCTAGAAAGCAGCACACCTGATCCTTACATAGTAAATCTCAAAGAATACTTCCTTTAAATTCCTTCTAAATTAAACAAAAAATCTGAGTATGTAAAATGATTTTCAGACTTGAATGCTTTAGTAGGTCCATAAAATCCTAAAAAGCTTATTGGGCAATGATTACCTAATTCAGACGTGGGGGAAAGAAAAGGCAGATACTTGCACATGAAGAAAGAATAATATCCAGTACAAAACTGAAAATGAAGGGAAATTCCTACAACTTCATTACCATTATTTCATAAGTATGATCACTTTGATGTTTCTTGTACTCAAATCCTCGTGTGAAACACTGCAAAAGAAACGAAAATTAAGTTACCAAAAAGTTACATTTTGAAATGCTTTCTTAAAGGATAGAAGATGACTTGTGGGTATTTTACTCTTCAGTGAGTTTTTAAGAATTCATTTACTCTTGTTTGCAGCCACAACTCAAAGGTTAGGTTCATGATCACAGCTTTTCAATGGCCCTCATAGAGAAAAAACAACAATCTGGGCAAAAAGACTTATTCCTAGGATAACTCCTCCTTTTAGAAGAGCATAAGCCCTGGAAGCAGACTGTCTAAATTTGAATCCTTGCTCTTAGTGTATTTCAGCAATTCTAAGATATATTTTGTCATATTTTAAAACTCTGAAATGTGGATTCATCTTATAATAAAAAGTGTATTACAACTTCCATCAGCCATTTTTACACTTTAACATCTCTAAACTGGGATGTTTCTTTTAATCAATAGCATTCTGGATCTGATAAAATATGGTATTTGCTGTGTGACCCTGAAGCAATTATTTAACCTCTCTCTGGCCGAGTCTCCTTTGTAAAATAGGAGTACTAATCATTACTTACTTCCTAGGGCTGCAGTGATGATTTAAAAGTTAATTCATGCAAAGTACTCAAAACAGAGCCTGGCACAGAGTAAGCACTTATCAGTACTGCTATTACTATCATCATCGACAGAACACTCTGTTCCTTTGTCACCTGCCCAAACATCACTCTTCAGTAAGATAAAAAACAGTGTCACAGGGGCTATCAAAAGGAATAATCCTCCAATTCTACTTCCTGTAGCCCCAATACTTGAAATCTACTGGCAAAAGCAGCATTAGGTTGATGAGGAAGTGGAATACTCAACAGACTATCTCATCCATTGTGCTCTGTTCTCCAATTTTTCACTGGTAAAATGTGTAATTAAAGACTGACTGGAAAAAATAGATTTAACAAGGTACGGTCCTCCTGAGCAACTGACAGTCATCACTGAATTTACTATGCCTATAAAACTAGGCAAGCCTCCCCTTTAGTTACCTGTAAGCAGAGGAAAAAAGGAGGTGGACCACATTCTGCACACTTGATATAAGGCTCCATGAGGTAGGAGGAGCAGCCTCGGCAAGGTGGCTTATCAGAGGGATCATCTAGAACATAAAGAAAAATTACTAGCTTTAAAACACCATATGACTATCTTCAGCACCAGAAGCGAGAAATCTGCAAATGATTACACAAGGTAATACACTGTGCTGACAAGTTCATGGAGACAAGATGAGTTCATTCCAAATAAGAAAACATAAAAATGATGTTCCTTATTTCAGGGCAGCTTTGTTCCTTCCTACAGTACCTACTATTTCAAGCATTTAAGTAGATATGGCACCTGCAGAGAAACAAACACAAGTTTTAACTGGACGTCTCATAATGCCCACAATTTATTTTCCCATGGGAAAAATAATGTCACATACCTACCTAACACATATACAGTTATAGATAAAGCCCATCTGACAGAATGTTAATAAGTGCTGTATCTGGGTAATGGGCTACAAGTAATCACTGTACTGTTGTTTCAAGTTCTTTACAAGTTTGAAATTTTTCGTAATAAAAAGTTGGGGGCAAAAACTCTAATTATACATCTTGAGATATACTAATTTATACTTGAGTTGGGAGTTAAACCTAGGACAGCTCCTTCCCTTTCTCCCACAGTAAGCAGAGAGCAAAGCAGACCTTCCTCCAGTTCCAATGACAATACTGTCTCTGAAATACCAAGGCACGGAGTACAACCCAAACTCTCTGAAGTTATGAAAACCCACACATGTGTGTCCCCGGCTGCCCCAAACTGCCACTCTCCAGTCAGGGCAACATAGCAGAGTTGTTCTCTTGTGATCCACAGGAATCTAAGAACACAGGCTTTGAAGGTAGAGAAGGGATTTAATCTGTTTGGCCTGGGGCAAACATTTCTCACATTCTGTAATATAATGTTTCCTCCTAAAATCCAAGAAACACTCTTCAAGGCACCTTTCCCTCCTTTAAGTGGTGATTATTCTTCTTTTCTTTTGTTTCTAAATGTAGACCTGTAGAAAGGTGACAGAGGAAAGAAAGGTAATCTTTCTGGCCATAACTTCAAAGTAAATATTTGGAACAGAAACTACCCCATTTCTCCCATTTAAAACAAAAATGATTTTATGTTAAATGTCAATTTTTATCAAATTACCTTCTTCCTCACATCCTTTTAATGATACGTTTTTCTTTCCTCAAACTTTCTTCAATGATAACAAAAAAATTGACCAATGACTGACCTAAATAGTTTTTAAACTCTTGTGTCAAGAAGTAACTGTTTTACAAAAAATATTTTAAAAATTTTAGACAATAAAAGAATGTCACCCTCTATTAACATTCTGATTTCCAGCCTTTCTTCCTTGTATGTGTGTGTCTATTTAACAAACGTGAGATACCACACATTTTTATAGCCTGTTTTTTTTCCACTTGACAATATATTCTCAACGTCTATCACGACAGTACACATAGATCTCCCTTATTCTTTTTAATGGATGAATAATATTCCAGTATATCAATTAGCTAACCTAGTGGTTTTCAACTGCCTCCTAGGAAAACACTGTGTAAATCTGAGGAGATGCTTTCTTGTTGCCATAATGACTAGGGAGCACTACTGCACTTAGCAGGCAGGGACCAGGGATGCTAGACATCCTACAGCACTCAAGATATTACTACACACCACAGAACTGGCCTGTCTACTGCACACTTTCAAATGTCCCACCAGATGTTCAAGTAGGTGAAAACTTATTCATAATTACATGACCTGAAACCTAATTACACATAAGACAAAATGTTCTTGTTAGCTCTGATATGTATTGAATTTTCCAGGAAGGCAGCTGCAATCTCAAGAGATTTTATCTTGCTGTGTTCAGAACTTGACTAACACTTAACTCAAGCTGTGGTATTTCTGCATCACCAGTGCAGCACGCGAGAGTCACTGTGCACTTGTGGCTGTGATATGCACAGTGATTCAACATACGAATGCAAGCGTCTGACGACTAAGGCATTATGTCTTCCACTGTAATGACTAAACATATTGAGATAGGTATTATTTTCTTATAAATTACGTTATTATATATTACTTCTTTTATTTATCCTTTATAGTATAGTTAGGGCATTATTTTTATTTCTTTGAAATCATGGGTATAGATATGTTATCTATGCATTTCATTTCCAAAGAGTAAAAGAGGCTTTAAAAGCATAAAAATCAAACACGGAGTCTCCTAAGATTGAGAACCACGAGTCTAACCAGTTCCCTACTGTTGGGCATTTATGTTATTTCCAATTTTTCACTATTATAAAAAATGCTGAAGTCAGTGTTCCTGTACATTAGGTTGGTGCAAAAGTATTTACAGTTTTGCACTATTGAACCTTGCCATTTGATATTGGAATAATTCTTAAATAAATGTGGTTACGTTATACAACATTTTAATGCACATTTCTTGCTTTATTTTTTTTGCTAATGACTTAATACTTGCTATTTATTTTAGACTATAGAAATAATAGACAAAAAGCAAATTCAAGTGATTTTTTTATTCAAGTTCAAAATGGGTCGTAAAGCATCAGACAATGCACATCAACAACACATTTGGCCCAGGAACTGCTAATGAACATACAGTGCAGTGGTGGTTCAAGAAGTTCTGCAAAGGAAACGAGAGCCTTGAAGATGAGGAGCACAGTGGCTGGCTATCGGAAGTCAACAACCAATTGAGAGCCATCATCGAAGTTGATCCTCTTACAACTATACAAGAAGTTGCTGAAGAACTCAATGTCGACCATTAATATGGTCGTTTGGCATTTGAAGCAAATTGGAAAGGTGAAAAAGCTTGATAAGTGTGTGCCTCATGAACTGACTGAAATAAAAAAAAAAAAAATCATCATTTTGAAGTGTTGTCTTCTCTTACTCCACGCAACAACGAACCATTTCTTGATTAGACTATGACATACAATGAAAAGCGGATTGTATACAACAACCAGCTCGGTGGCTGAACCAAGAAGAAGCTCCGAAGCACTTCCCAAAGCCAAACTCCCACCCAAAAAAGGTCATGGTCACTGTTTGGTGGCCTGCTACCAGTCTGATCTACTACAGCTTTTTGAATCTCAGCAAAACCATTACATCTGAGAAGTATGCTCAGTTTACTGATGAAATGCACCAAAAACTAAAATGCCTGGTATTGGTCAACAGAAAGGACCCAATTCTTCTTCATGACAATGCCTGACCGCATGTCGCACAACCAAGGCTTCAAAAGTTGCACGAACTGGGCTACAAAGTTATCTGCCATATTCACCCGACCTCCTGCCAACTGATTACCACTTCTTCAAGAATCTTGACAACTTTTTGCAGGGAAAATGTTTTCATAACCAGCAGGAGGCAGAAAATGCTTTCCAAGAGTTTGTTGAATCCCGAAACATGGATTTTTACATTGTAAGAATAAATAAACTTATTTCTTGTTGGCAAAAATACGTTGATTTCAATGCTTCCTATTCTGATTAATAAAGATAACTTTGAGCCTAACTATGATGATTAAAAATTCATGGTCCAAAACTGCAATTATGTTTGCACCAACCTAATATATAACATTTCACATTTTGTTCCTCAGGATTTCTATTTTCCTATAGCTAAAACTGTTGAGTATGCAGAAGGTTTCTGATACATATAGCCAAATTATCCCTCACAAAGGATTCCAGAACTTTGCTGTAACCTAGGAGGATGGAAAGACTTTTTTTTAACAATCACTCAAAATCCAGAGGCAATAAGGGAGTAATAAATTGGACTACATAGATAAACAAAAATCTCTTTTTTGGCAAAAAAAAAAATCATAAGTAAATATAGAAAGCAAATAAACTAGAAGAAAATATTTGTAAACATATCATAGACAAAGGGCTAACATCCTTAACATAGAAAGAGCCTTTAAAAACTGAGAGAAAGGAACTTCCCAGGTGGCACAGTTAATAAGAATCTGCCTGCCAATGCAGAAATCATGGGTTCAATCCCTGGGCCAGGAAGATTCCACGTGCTACACGTGCTGCAACTACTGGAAACCCAGGTACTTCCAGAGCCTGTGCTCTGCAACAAAAGAACCACGGCAATGAGAAGTCTGCACACCACAACAAATAGTCGTCTCCACTTGCTGCAACTAGAGAAAGCTTAAGAAAAGCAACAAAAACCCAGCTCAGCCAAAATAATTAATTAAAACAAAAAAAAAACTGAGAGAAAAAAAAAGAACCAAAAATCCTATTGTGAAAGTCATGAAGATATAATTACGAAAAAGAGAGATGAGTATTGACCTTAAACATGAAAAGACATTCAACTTCACTCATAATAAGAGCAATCTTCAGAAAGTTCTCACCCATCAGACAGGCAAAAATTCAAAAGCTTGATAATATAGTTTCTCAACAAGCTGTGGAGAAATAGGCATCTTCATATATTGCCTATGGAAATGCAAAATGGCACAACTCCTATATAAGGGAATTTAGCAGTATCTGGTGATTGCAGCCATGAAATTAGAAAACGCTTACTCCTTGGAAGAAAAGTTATGACCAACCTAGGTAGCATATTAAAAAGCAGAGACATTACTTTGCCAAAAAAGGTCCATCTAGTCAAGGCTATGGTTTTTCCAGTGGTCATGTATGGATGTGAGAACTGGACTGTGAAGAAAGCTGAGCACCGAAAAATTGATGCTTTTGAACTGTGGTGTTGGAGAAGACTCTTGAGTCCCTTGGACTGCAAGGAGATCCAATCAGTCCATCTGAAAGGAGATCAGTTCTGGGTGTTCATTGGAAGACTGATGCTGAAGCTGAAACTCCAACACTTTGGCCACCTCATGCGAAGAGTTGACTCACTGGAAAAGACCCTGATGCTGGGAGGGATTGGGGGCAGGAGGAGAAGGGGACAACAGAGGATGGGATGGCTAGATGGCATCACCGACTTGATGGACATGAGTCTGAGTAAACACCGGGAGTTGGTGATGGACAGGGAGGCCTAGCATGCTGCAATTCATGGGGTCGCAAAGAGTCAGACACGACTGAGCGACTGAACTGAAATGTCCATTTATCTTTAGACACAGGAATTCCAGTTCTAAAAATTTATCTGAATATACACCTCCAATAATACCAGGTTATGCATTAGAATATTAATTGTAACTGCAAAAAACTATATTGATGTCCAAGCACTGGACAGAAGTTGATCAAACTATGGTATATCCACATAATGGAGTAGTATGCAACTATTAAAAAAAAAACTCCACAAAGTAATACAGTATTTCCAGGAGATACTATTAAATGGGGGGGGGGGGGGGGAGAGATGCAAAGATACATAGTATGCTATCTTTACAGCAAGAAATTAGGAAAAACAAAAATATATTCATTTCATGAACCCCAGTGCCCACTGAAGCACTATTTACAACAGACAGGACATGGAAGCAAGCCAAATGTCCATGGACAGATGAATGGATAAAGAAGTTGCAGTACATATATACAATGGAATATTACTCAACCATAAAAAGGAACAAATGAGTCAGTTCTAGTGAGGCAGGTGAAACTAAGAGCCTGTTACAAAGAGTGAAGTATGTCAGAAATGGAAAAACAAATACTGTATATTAACGCATATACATGGAATCTAGAAAAAGGGTACCGATGAACCTATTTGCAGGGCAAGAACAGAGACTCAGACACAGACAACAGACTTATGGATGCAGGAGAGGGTGGGATGAATTGAGAATGTAGCACTGAAATATACACATTACCATATGTAAAACAGATAGCTAATGGGAAGTTGCTATACAACACAGGGAGCTCAAACTCGTGCTCTGCTGACAACCTAGAGGGGTGTGATGGGTGGGAGGAAGGTTCAAGAGGGAGGGGACATATGTATACCTGTGGCTGATTCATGCTGATGTATGGCAGAAGCCAACGCTACATTGTAAAGCAATTATCTTCCAATTAAAAATAAATTTTAAAAATATATATACACATGTCTATTTGTCTTTGTGAAAAGAAATAAAGAACAGATAAACTAGAAAACAGTGAAGCTGGAAACCTATGAAGGGCTGAATGAGAGGGAATGGAATGGAGTGGAAGAGAAACATAAGGAGTAACAATTATATATATATATAACCTCCATAGTTTTGACTTTTGGAAGTATATTTATGTTCTACAAATTAAAAACTTAAATCAGTAAATATAGGAAGGAAAAACTGAAAGCAGAACAAACAGATAAACCCAAAAGTATTTCAAAAGAATACTGTAACCACAATGAGAAAGGGGAAAAAAAAGAACCAATCCAAGTAATTTATGAATATTTAACAGACCTTCAGTACTGGGTGATGCAGAGAATTTTAAACAAATCCTGAATTTTTTGAAGTAGGTCTGCTTTATGTTGTGGTACCCATAAAGCAATTCTGAAATAATTTTGGATGTATTAAAAGACTGAGCAAATGTGCTGTTTTGGGAGCCAGGGTTTTCACTAATGAAAGGACACAAAATAAGGAAAAAACCTATAAACTGGAGGTATCAATGTGAACTCATGATTTCTTAAAAAGTGTTATCTATAGGTATATACATGTATATGTGAATATATATATTGGTATATATGTTTATAGCATATACACACATATATCTCTGAGCTCTGTGGGCCAAAAAAGCCAAGATGCCAACACACTCTAGCAGCAATAAGCAATGACCAGATTTTGGTTTCTAATGTCATTCCTCTCTAAAAGGACCAAGGACTCCTCAGAGAAGTGGCTAATTCCAGGGCTGGGTGATGGGAGGTAAGATGCACCTGGAATGCATAGCCATACCAAAAAGTAAGGAGATGCTCAACAAAGTGATGGAGGGTGGGGGCAAGTCACAAGGCTGCAAGAGACACCTTGAAGGGACTCGCAGCAGTCAAATTAGGACAATCTGAGAACCAAAATAACTAAGTATGATAATAAATTATAAATCATTGAGAAAGCAGCAATCCATGTATCCATACTTAAACAAGTAAGTGAAATAAGAGGTCTCTTGACTACAATAAAATGCTAACTAATAAATATATAGAGAGTGCTGGAATGCTGGGGTCTGGGGGAAAAAATCATTTTGTAACCATCATAGTAAATGCAAAAATCATCAATGGATGCTAACTAGGGAGAAATTCTGATGAGGAACAAAATATTTTATGGTCTGAGAAAGTGTCTTCTTATGGGCTGCTTATTATACGTAAGAGAAAAAAAACAATTATACGGTTAAGAACTTAAATACACACCTTGACTGGGTTTTCAAAATTAGTATCACTAATGAGGGACAGAGCAAAACCAGACAAACCCAAAATGAGACACCTTTATTTTTTAAAAGGGAGAAAAAGGCCTGATTTCCCAAAAGTATCAGTCACTAAAGACAAAGGCTGTGAAAATGTTTCAGTTTAAAGGAGTTAAACTTAATGCAAGACATGACCTCTGACTCTATCCTGTATGGGAAGGAAGGAAGAAAAACACCATAAAGGACATTACTGAGTCAGCTGACAAAAGTGGAATACAGATGGTGGGTTAGAGAAAAATATTTTATCAATGTTATCTTACAAAAGTTGGTAACTCTACTGAGGTTAGAACAGAATCTCTCTAGTCTTAATAAACAAACACTAAACTACTTGAGGGTAATACTACTTGAGGGACATACATGACGTATGTCCCTTAGCCTCAAATGATTCTGGGGAAAAAAATGGAGTATGTCTACTTATATACACATATTTACGTAAGTAAATGTGTGTATTTAGAGAGATAATATATGCAAATAAGGTAAAAGGTTTACAAAAGGTGTATGGGGATTCTTTGTACTATTCTTCCAACTTTCCTATGAGTTTGAAATTATTACCAAATCAAATTTTTAAAGTTTAGTTTACAAATTATTTTAAAAATTTAAAAATTATTTTTAAAAGGTAGACTGTCTTCAGGTTACACTCTCAGCATGAGGATAATTCATTTAGGTTTTCTTTGTATATAAAATGAGATTTAAACTAGATGTGCCTGAAAACTCCACTCTGTCCTAAATTTATATAGGGAGTGTGATGAGTAAGCAAATTTCCCCTTAAGAAATTGCTTAAGAGTCTACACTCCAAATGTGCCTTTCTAATTCGTCTCATTGGGATGCTACTAACATCTAACAGTGTATTTTTATTTCTGCCAAATCTCTTATCTTCAGAATCAGAGAAAAAGTAATATTTTTTTCCTCCACAGTTATGGCTGCCTGGATTTATTTCACACATACTCCATAGTTCTCTGCACTATTATTACACTGTAGCTTACTCTGAGAATACAAGTTCTGCTAAAAACAGAGGGCAGGAGCATTTCCTTTATTCCACCATTGACATTATTTCTTACCAAAGCACCTGAAATATGTTATTGGTTCTAAAGCTAAATTCCAACTGCTTTTTTCAGTTGAACTATGGGTTAATCATACTATGCATGGTCCATCTGAGCTTAGTTTTCTTATAAGACCTAGGGTGATATGTTTGTGTCAAGTGTTCAGTGGGCAACCAGTAGTATTGGTTGATTTTATTTTGATTTGATATTCTTATTCTTTTAGGATCATATTCAAATGGCTTTGTTTAACTTCAAAGTACTTATTTTTCTTCTTTGATCAACTTCTACTTTAGTTTACCATGAATATTAACCTGGGACTTGTTCCCACAGTACTTACTGCTAAAGGAACCTAATCGGTCCATTCTCCAGTTGGCAAAGACTCTGTTGTTTTGATCTTCTTTAATCTGAGTTGCTTCAAGGAGATTTCAGAACCTGCCAACACACACACCAAAGCTGATGACCGCTCCCTGTGAACAAACAGAAGTGGCACCTGGATAAGGAAATAATTCAAAGGGACAAGATAAAGAGAAAATAACGCAATGTACTCAATTGTACCACATCCTAGTTGTGTTAAGGCTAAGCAAATTATTTTACCTCTATAAGCTCGTTTCCTCCTCTGTAAAATGGATATGCTACAATCATACCTACCTCCTAGAGCTGTTGAGGGTTAAATATCAAAAGCCACATAAATAATATACCATAGTGCCTAGCCCATACTAAGTCCTCTATAAAGGCTACACAGTTCTAATAAACAACAACTGATTTTCTCTGCCTGGCATCACTTCTCTCCTTAGCCCACCATCCTTTGGAAAACTGACTCTCCCACATCTCATAAGGCTTTGGTGGGATTGTGAATCACAATACTCTATCCTCCACCTCCACAGCAGCTAAAGCAATCCAATCTGGTCTTACAGAAACCTGAATACTGAATAAGATACACAAGGACAGAGGGTAGCTGGAGCTCAGTCATTCACTAGCCAAAGAATCTGGTCCATGAGATCTGGCTCTTTGAGATTCCCATCCCCAAGGGTGGCCTAACTGTTTAAGTTTTTTTTTTTCTCATTTCTCTATCTTTTCAATAATACTTTAATCTGAAGAACTGCTATTACTAGAAAACTTAGGGATCCAATCTGTTACAACATACATTTTGTTCACTAATTTATTATTTGAACGAATTTTTTTTCCCTATATTTATTTATTTGATTGTGTTGGGTCGTAGTTGAGGCCTGCAGGATCTAGATCCCTGACTAGGGATCGAACCTGGGCTCTCTGTATTGGGAGTGAAGAGTCTTAGCCATTGGACTTCTAGGGAAGTAGGTATGTACAATATACCAAGTCACCTTTTTGAACACATAAATGAACTCCTATCTCACCCTAAGCCAAAAAAATCCCCCCTTTCTAATCTCCCATAGCCTTTTATCTCTCTCTCTCTCTCTTTTCTTCAGCATTGTTTACATTCTTCTTTGTGAGAATTACTTCTGAATGCATTATTTTTCCCACTCCTAAACTAACGAAAGCAGGGACCACATCAAATACAAATTTGTATGTCTTAAAGTACTTGGTACATAGTGCCAAGCAGAAAGAATTCAATAAACACAAATGTTACGGACAAATGAGGGCTTCTCAGGTGGCTCAACGGTAAAGAATCTGCCTGCTAATGTCAGAGATATGGGTTTGAGTCTGCCACGACTTAGTAACTAAACAACAACAATGGACAAATAAATATTAGTTCTACAAAAAGGTTAGTTTATCTTTAGTTCTCCGACAGTGACTTTTTTCACCTGACAGTTTTAGCTTAGAATAAGTCATCATTAAGTGTATACAACGCTCAGATAACGCTTGTCAATGAACTTGTCTTCTTCAGGATGAGTCGGAGTGGTTCTCCCTCTGCTCCAAACCCGAAAAAATGTGTCTGAAGAAACACAAGTTCAGTAAAAGGTATTATGCACTCAGTAACAAAACAATGGCAGTTGCTCAGTCATGTCCAACTCTGCGGCCCCATGGCCTGTAGCCCACCAGGTTCCTCTGTCCATGGGATTTTCCAGGCAGGAATACTGGAGTGGATTGCCATTCCCTTCTCCACAGGACCTTTTCCACCCAGGGACTGAACCTGGGTCTCCTGCATTGCAGGTAGAATCTTTACCGTCTGGGCCACAAATAGCAAACATTTATTAAGTTTTCTCATAAGCTAGACACTGTGGCACCACTGTATGTGGATTATCTGTGAATCCTTACAATCTTCTGAGGCATGGAACTTTTTCGTTCTGTTATTTATTTTTTTTTTTTGGCATGGAACTTTTTCAAGGAAAGAAGCCCCGAAAGATTATTCGCACAATGTGTTACAGTTAGTGAACAGCAGCGTCACTTCAACAGAGATTAATAGAGATGGGTAACTAAAAGATGTATATAGCCTCATAAATGCTCCATGTTGTAAGCACAATACTGCAGTAAGCAGAATATTCTTTCTCCACTCCGTTCTTCTCAATGGAGACACTACTGACGCTAACATCCACGAAAAGGTGGATGCTACCTCCAAGTTAACATTTGCCAAAGTTCAAGAAGTTACTGGGAGGAAGAGGAAAGGGGCGTGAAGAGCCTTTCCTCCTCGGTGTGGTGCAGAGGACGGGACAGGCTTGGAAGAGATTCGCAGACAAGATTCGAAGACTCACTTGGTCCCCATTAACTATATGACCTCTGGCGTCATTTTACTGGAGACTCAGACAACCTCAGCTCTATAGACACGAAATATCTACTTGGAAGGCCTATCTGAAAACAAGGGGTCACGTCAGCCCTTTGTTGAGAACGGGACTTCGCACTCCACCACAGCAACGACAGGAATGCCGAGGCGGGGACCCAGCGGGCCGTTCAGGGGGCGGGGCGCACCGGGCTCGAGGCGGGGCGCGGCCCCAGGGCTCAGTCCCGGCCCATGTTGCCCTCCCCCACCGGGCCGCGTGGCCCGCGCCTCACGCCCGCCCGCCTGCCCCTCTCGTCCCTGAAGCCGCCAGGGCCCGCAGCCCGCAGCCCTCCCGCAACCTGGCCGCCCCTCGTGGTCCCTGCCTCCCACCTCGTCCCGCGAGTGGGGCTCACGGCCCACGGCCAACCGCCCCGCAGCGGCTCGTGCCTCACCTCAGCGCGTTCCCCCTCCTCCTCGCCGAGGAAACGCCAGCCGTGCGCGCGCCCGAGCTTTGCGTGCGCGCTCCCCCGCGGGCGGCGCAGGCGCGAGCGGGCCGCGCGCCCGCCGCCTCCGCCCAGGCCCCGCCCCGGCCGTCGAAGCCCCGTCGCGGGTGGCGCGCCTACCGCCGCCCCTGGCTCGGCCCCCGCTCCGGGGCTCTCGCAGCGCCCCCGCCGCGGCCTCTTGCAGGGAGGCCTGAGAGGCTGGGACTCTGAGCCGCTTGCCCGAGTTCTGAGTGGGACCAGTAATTACCCTTTCCTGAGGGCGTGTTGCTGGTCGCCGCAGGCCGGCCGGCGGCTGGTGCCGCCGTTTTATCCGCTCCAAAGTGCGCTGAGCCGGAGCGGGCCAGTACTGCCCCGCCTTTGTGTTTTCTGACATTCCCACTCCCACCCTTGTTACAGCCTCGAAGGAGATCGAGGCTAAGCGCCTGGGCCCAAGGACGGCGAGCGGGGGTGGCCTCTCGAAGCCGGGTCTTGCAGTGCCGCTCGTGGATTAATCAGACTGCCTGAATGGTTTAAGGGTACCCTGGGTACGTTTGATTCAGACGCTCCTGGAACGTCGAAAGTATCATCTTTGGAAAGAACCATCCCCTCTTTGGGCTTCAGGGGCCCAGATTGAGGCGCGATGATGGGAGGATGTGGTGGTCCACTCTGATGTCAATCTTGAGGGCTAGGTATGTCCCGACATCTCTTGTTACTACTACTAATTGTAATAGCTGCCATTTGTTGGGTATTTAGTGCATGCCAGGTATTGTACAAAGGAGGTTGCAAACATGGTCTCATTTAATCTTAAGGAACAACCTCGTGGGGTAGACACTCATTGTTACCATCCCCGTTTTCCCAGTGAAAACCTTTAGAAGCTGCCTTGTGAATAACTTGGGATCACATGCTAGATCACGTATGGAAAGGGGATTCAAACAGTTGCTGGGCTTAACCATTATGCCACTACATCTGTTTAAGTCTTTCATTCATAAATTTGCCGAACCTCTTATAGAATTCATTTACACTTTCTGCCAGCGTGGCCTCTTTTTCTTTTTTTTTTTTTTAGTATCTGAGTCATACAAGTTCATTCTAAAAAAAAAAAGAATATTTGCATGAGCAAAAATAATGTGAAAACCAGCTCCCCCCATGTAATTTAACATTTTGCTATACACTGTTTTAGATATTCTTTGACATATCATTATTGACATGATATGCTTCATGTCAATAAATATAGAATAGTTTTATATATGTTGTATACTGAAAATCTGTTTATTCATTCATTAATCAAATATTTAATGAGAAGACACTGTTGTACATGCTGGGAATTCAGCAGTGAATAAAAATTTCTGCCTCATATAATAATGGGGGAGATTGACAATAAGCAACACATAAACTATATTACTATGTAATAGCTAATGCCCAATAATGTGGCAGGTTTTTTAAAAAATCAAGACAAAGGGATAAGAGTAATGGGATGATGCTGTATTAGATGGGGCAAACAAGAAAGGCCTCTACATCACAAGCTGAAATCTAATAATTAATGACGGAGCTAGCTGTGTGGATTTCTAGAGAGAAACTGTTCTAGGAGAAAAGAAATGGCAATTAAAATAGCCCAGATTGTTTGGCATGTTGGAGAAGAAGCTAGAAATTAGAGAAAGAAATTGTGAAATAGGCAGAAGACAGATCATGTATCTGGTAAGCCACTGTTGGACTTTGGATTTTATTAGAATGTGACAGAATACCATGGAAGGGTTGAGAACAAAGAAATCATCAGATTTGTTTTCATTGCAGCCTTGGATTAGTGAAAGTGAAAGTTGCTCAGTCCTGTCTGACTCCTTGCGACCTCTTGGGATTCTCTAGGCCAGAATACTGCAGTGGGTAGCCTTTCCCTTCTCCAGGGGATCTTCCCAACCCAGGGATTGAATCCAGGTCTTCTACATTGCAGGTGGATTGTTTATCAGATTTGTTTTAAAAAGAATCCCTGTTAGTTATGTGGCGAATAGATAGTAGAAGCATTAAAATTGCCCTTTCAGTCATCCATTTTTAACAGTGTACTGGTGTTTCACCAACATCTTTACAACCACTCTCACCTCCACAAACAGAAACTGGCATCAAACCTTTAGGACTTATCTTCATGTTTTTTCTCCTAAACTGAAAGTTTTTGATACTGGCTAGGGCGTATATCCAGATCTGGATGTCATCATTGTCAACAAACTGAATATGAGTCATCAGTGTTGTACTGTTGTGGATAAACAGTCCCACATGATGCAGGGATCTATTCTAGAAACACAGCATTCAAGCACCTGGAAATTACCCTTCCTCTTCAATTGATGTTAGGCCCTCGTTAGAATTCTAAGCCCCAATTTAGTCATTGTGTTTAAGAAAGATGTGGAGAAATTAAAAATGCATAGTGAGGGGAAGGATAACAGTGATGAAAGCAGTGCTTTTCTCAGTTTCTGCCTTCAGCATTGCAGTGGCATCAGTTATAACATGAGGAACACAAATTTGGAGGAGAAATGAAAGATTCTGTTTCAGATCTGCTTTGCAACCTGCATATGGAAATGATATAAATAAGTTTGAAGCTAAGAGGAGAGACCAGGGCTAAAACAGTTTAACGGTATTAGAACTGTTTCTTTGGATATAGGTTTTCTTGGTAACCTCAGTACCCAGAAGAACCTCCTGGACAAATATTTGCAAAATGAGCAGGTAAAAGCAAAGGCAAGTGTGAAGTTCTCAGGCAAAAGAAAGATTGTGTAAGGTAAAAAGAGGAAATGTCCAGTTTATGCTTTCACCAGAGGGCCATGCACCTGAGCATGACCTCTGAGTAGGGTGATAAGTCCCTATTTGCTCGAACAGTCCTGGTTTAAACCTATTGTCCCCATATAACCAGTGAGGTTGCATTTCACTCTTAGAAGTGTCTCTGTTTGCACAGTAAATTATATGGTCACTCTTTGAAGAAGACCCTTCAGGGTCCAATGTCTTTCTCTTTCTTTGTCATTTTTGCCCCCATCTTACTCTTCATTCTCCCACCAGGTAGAAGTACCTCCTTTTGCCCCTAGGCACTACTTCCAAGTTTCCTTTGCTAAGGTACCTTCACTTCAACTTAAGACTTCACTTCCTCAGGTACATCTCTTCTGACCTCCCCAAGTCTGGATCTAGTACCCCTCTTACATGCGTCCCAGTGCACCCTCTGTTTAACCTGTCCCGGGAGAGACAACTCAGTACCTTGTTGCCCCCTCACTAAGCATTGTCTGCCAACGAACCTGAAAAAAACAACTCTTGTCCTCTTGAAGACAGAAAGTTACATTAACAGTATTAAGACCAGTCCCTGTTGAACTAATATTTTTAAAGAGTGACCTTCAGGACAGACTAATAGCACCTTCTCCAAGCCCTTCCATTCTTCACTAACTGAAGAGGTTGACTTTTGAACTCAAATCCCAACAAGGAAAACTCCATCCTCCCATCAGGCTCTGTAACGTGGCTACCATCGAGTCCAAAATCTGCCCAAAACTCCTCTCCCTCCACTTAATCGCAGTGGTTAGAATCCGAGTGCAGTTTCTGAGCCTTCCTTCCTATGAAAATGATGATCTGTCATTTCTAGTTACCATGTCGTGAGTGCTGAAAGACTAGAAACTAGATCTCCTCTTTTATTTATTTTTCCTGTATCTAAGGTGGCTGTTTGTACTGTGGTATACAAATAGATAAAAACAGAACATCTAAAAATCTAGCCATGCTTTCCCCATTTCAACTTCCTTCCCTTTAAACTCAGATAATGCTGGTCAATGTAAATTAGCCAGAGATTTAGTTCCGGGAGCAGAGCTCTGTGCCAAATACAAGGTCTCTTAAAAGCAAGGAGTTTCCTGTGATGCACGCAGTAGAGACGGCTCCACTCCACAAAGGCCTGAGCCCAGGGATTGCAGCTCCTTAGGGTTCAGCTCTTTGAGTCCACACACTAGGAGCCTAGCGTACTGCAGTCCACGGGGTCACAAAGAGTTGGACACGACTTCACAACTGAACAACAAAAACCTGACTCCACCACGGCCCAGCTCAGGGCTGGTCCAGCCTCTTCGGCCTCTGTTGCTGCCTCTTCCATTCAGGAGTGTTTCGATCCTCTTGTTTTCATTTGCTCCATCCCTCCATATCTTTCTCCTTTTGTGGCCACCCTAGTCAAAGGAGTTAGGGAAAAATAGTATTCCTTCTAGGAGGTTCCTAGATTGCTCTTTTTTTTTTTAATTAACTGATTTTTAAATTATTTATTTCTTTGTGGCTGTGCTGGGTCTTGGTTGCTTCGGGTGGATTTTCTGTAGTTGCAGAGAGTAGAGGCTTCTGTTCGTTGCAGTGCACAGGCTTCTCACTGCAGTGACTTCTGTGGTTGCGGAGCACAGGCTCTAGGGCTCAAGGGCTTCAATAGCTGCGGCACACGGGCTTGTTTCGCGGCATGTGGGATCTGCCAGGACCAGGGATTGAACCTGCGTCCCTTGCTTTGACAGGCGGATTCTTAACCATTGGACCACTGGGGAAGTCCCTTTTTTTTTTATTTACTTTTATTGAAGTATAGTTAAATTACAGTGTTAATTACTGCTGTACAACAAAGTGACTCAGTTACACATATATATACGTAAATACATTCTTTTTCATATTCTTTTCTATTACATTTTATCATAGAGTATTGAATATAGTTCCCTCTGCTCTACAGAAGGACCTTGTTACTTATCCATCCCATATATACGAATTTGCATCTGCTAATCCCAAACTCCCACTCTCACCCTTTTCCTCCCCACTCCCACCTCGCCACCACCAGTGTATTCTCCGTGTCCCTGATTTAGATTCAGTTGCTAGACTGCTCTTCTCACTTGATCACCCTCAACCATGACCATTCTGCTGAGGAAGGATTGAAGTACTTTCGCTAATCTACTTAAAGAAAGATAAGGTCTATATAGTGTCTCTACACAGCAGTGTATCTGGGGTGCTTCTGCATAAGTAAGGACTCCCTAAAGTTTCCAAGTGGCGCTAGCGGTAAAGAATCTGCCTGCCAATGCAGGAGACATAAGACGTGGTTTTGATCCCTGGGTTGAGAAGATCCCCTGGAGAAGGGCATGGCAAACCCACTCCAGTATTCTTGCCTGGAGAATCCCATGGACAGAGGAGCCTGGTGAGCTACAGTCCATAGGGTCACACAGAGTCAGACATGACTGAAGTAGCTTAGCACTCATGCAGAGATCTCAAAAGTGAACAAGAAGGAACAGGTTCTGCTAAAGGACCCTATTGCAACCCATTCTTCAGATAAAGAAAAGTGAGGCACAGAGAGGTAAAACCTCTTACCCTAAGTCATTCATTTCCTAAGTAGTACAGCCAGAATTAAAATCAGGTCTGTCCAAATGTAATTAATAAACTCCCTCTGGCTATTCAAGCTAAAAAGTTAGCAAGTTTTAGGATTTTCATAATCCCAGGGTCATTAAGGCTGATTTTCATGAATCTAGCCCTTTGCTACCCATCTCTTCTGCCTCTTCCTCACCTCACTGATGTTTTAATTTTTGGCCACACTGTGTAGCTTGTGGGATCTTAGTTCTCCTGTCAGGGATGGAACCAGGGCCCTGGCAGTGAGAGCACCAAGTCCTAAGCCTTGGGCTGGCAGGCAGTTCCCTCCCTGTCTTCTTTTTGATCTCTGCAATGCATAGGATATCTGTCTCTT